CTGAATAATTTTCCATATCTTTCCATTGGGACTCTGTTATAGAAATCTCCAGCTCCAGGGTGTACAGTAATCTAAGGTATTGTTCCTCTCTGATATAATTCTCCACTACCTTCATTCTGGCTGTCTTCAGCTTAAGTAGTCCACTTCCCAATTTAATTAACAGCAATTTGTAAGGATTTAAATCTATCATGAAGGTGACTAATCATTTTGATCACATCATCACTTCACTTATTTTTCTGAAAATTGTATTTCAATTGTGCTTCCAAGCTCCTGTTACTACCATAATTATCAGTAGTATCATTATGGCAGCCATTCCTGCAAGTTTAACAAGATCTCCTTGTTTTATTTTTCTAACCATATAACATTTACACACTATCATATTTAATTATTCTTCTTTTGCTATTTCTTCCCCTCTTAATTCTTCAATTCCAACTTATTTTTGTATGGTGATCAATATTTCAGCAGGTTTGATTGGTCTCAGACAAGTGTATTGTGCTTTCACCCAGAGGTCATGTCTCACTGATGCTACCGCTGAACATGCATAGGCCCTTGTGCAGACCAACAACAGCACCAATAAGTAAATTTGTTTGCCCCTAGTGATGCACTATCCACACCTCCATCCTCTCAAGTCAACTTCCACTGTTAATTATTGGATGAACCTAGCATCGTTGCACACTGACATCATTTCCATCCATACCATCATTCTCACCTGTATTTCTCTTTAGTGGGATTCAGGGTTTCCTGCCCCTCTCAGTCTCTGCTTAATGGGTAACTCTGGCTCAACCTCAAGCCTATTTTCTTCAATGAATCATTTCTGGAATTGAGAAAGAGGTATCTCATCCTCCTCTTCACACTCACTTAGCTCCTCTTTCTCTTCAGGAGGTTTCAAATAAGAACACGGTCTTCATCACTTGGTTCCTTTGCTTTCTTCTGTTTCATTGGCAGTTTTCTTGTTTTATTTATAACTCTTTTTACTTGCTGTTGACTTATTTTTCTTCCTTCTTTCTCCCATCCATTTCTATTTCCTCTGGCTCCACAAGGATTGCTTTCCTCATTCTTTCTTTCCTGCTTCTTGGTTTGGTTTCTTTCCAGCCACCTACCTCAGCCAATTTGTGGTCTTTGGCATGAGCTCTTTTTACTCATCCTGCCATTTGGTCCCAGATCACAAAGAACATTGGTCCAGTTTGTTCTACTATTCTATAATATGGTTCCCACCTCTGGTCCAATTTTCCTTCCCTTAGGTGAATCTTGTAGAACACTGGAACTCCAACCCATAACTCTACCTCCTTTCTTCCTTTATGTACCTCTTATTATCCTCCTTCTGGCCTGCGTAAATGACTAATGTTGCTGTTCTATTATCAATATATGGTGTATTCCCCCATGTACTTTCTTTGAGGCTTTAACAGGTTATCTACTGGTAGGATCACGTCTTGCTCGAACAATATATAGTATAATGAGAACTTAGAGGTCTCATTTGTGGTAAACCTCACTACTGCCAAGGCCTCTGTCAAATACAGGCCCCAATTCTTGACATTATCACTTGCCAATTTAGCTAATATATTGCCCAAGGTTCTATGAAATCTTTCCACTTTTGCATTACTCTGAGGTATGAGGAAGTGGTCACATTTACTCTTTTCAGGCTTTGCAAGACTTTGGCCATTATCTTTTTTACATTCACTGGTTTGTTGTCTGTTAACAGTTGTACTGGGGCCCCATAACAAGAAAATATCTTTGTCAATATCAAGTCAGACACTGATGGGCTTTCTTATGGAGTATTGTATATGCCACACACCAACCCGTCAGCCAATCTACTATGCTCATGATGTATAGATTTCCTCTCTGGGTTTCTCCATATGGTCTTGACACATCAAAGTTCTTCATAGCACAGTTGGTCTAGAGCATGTAGGTTTGGTTTGTTTTATGGCATATAAACCTCAATGGGTCATTTAATGCTGACAACTTCTTTTTTTTTTTTCTTTTTTTTTTTTTCCTGGTAATATTTTTGCTTTTTCAAAAATCTATTTCTGTTAATATTTTTTCCTCAAAAATGTATAGCTGATAATACTATTTTTCCAAAAATGTATAGCTGGTAATATTATTTTTTCAAAAATGTATAGCTGGTGACATTATTTTTTCAAAAACATACTATCAGAGGTCTTGCTGTTGGATGTAGTTTATTGTCATACCCAAGATGCAGATGTAGTCAGAGGTCTTGCTGTTGGATGTAGTTTATCGTCATACCCAAGATGCAAATGTAGTTTATCGTCATACCCAGGATGCAGATGTAGTTTATCGCATCATACCCAGGATGCAGATGTAGTTTATCATTATACCCAGGACGCAGATATAGTCTGAGTGTTAACTATTTGCCTATAGCTGGGACCCTAAAAGGTGTTACCACCATCGGTCAGGGTGGACCTGGGAATACTAGCAATTAACAGATGGTTCCTAGCTCCTGAAAACCTCCTGATCAGAGGCCTTGCTGTTGGACGTAGTTTATTGTCTTACCCAGGACGCAGATGTAGTTTATCATCATACCCAGGATGCAGATGTAGTTTATCATACCCAGGATGAAGAGCATGTTGGATATATATATATATATATATATATACACACACACACACACACACACACAAGTTGGCCATTGGCTCCTATAAGAAATTCATCCACCCTTTACAAAGCTTAAAAAAAAAAGAGAAGGGGAGTTGAAGGTGGGTGGGTTTGTTGGTTGGATAATAATGATATCTTAACAATATAGTTAGAACATATTTGGTCAGGTTGGATAAGTAAAAAGTGCAATACATTAAAATTCTTTAGCACACAAAAAGCAAAATAAAGATAAAGAAGTTACAATAACAAATATTTGTGCATTCCTAATTTTTTTTTTTTTTTTTACATATGAACCTAAATCTTAATTATTATTTTTTTTTAATGCCATGTCCCTTTAAGACATAGGCAATCATGACTCCCTAAAGTTTTTTTTATTTTTTTATTTGGTCATGGCTTTTTGGGGAGGAAAGTGGACTGTTTTCTCATTGTCTTCATCATGGTTTGAATTCAGAGTGGTTCTTTGCATAAGGTGACTGCCATCCAACCCTAGAGAACCCTGTCTACCCTACTATTTAACTCATAGCTCGGGCTCTTGTTCATATAGCATTTAGATAAAAACAGACAGGAAGCAAAGATTGGAAGAGACAAGAGAGAGAAAGAGAAGACAGAAACAGTAAAAGGGCAGAAGTTTGAGATAATAATCTCAGTTGTTAACACCCATGGAATTTCTGATAGATACAATTATCAAATCATCAAAAAACAATCAAATAATGTCTACTGATGCCAAACAATTACTTGCTCATTACATTTCAGTTTTTCTTTTTTTTCAGCTTCATTGTTCTTTCTCACATATGATTTTGTCAAACGTTATTTCCAAAGCAATGTAGATTCTGGATTAGCTCCAATTGGACATATGACTGCTGCATCACTTGGGGAAGTGGTAAGATCATTTTTATATCTTACTTTTTAATCTGCTCAATGGGATATCAGAAGAAAGTTGTAGAATCATATTATAATTCTGCTTATTCCTACACTAGTAAGTTTGCACATTAACAACTCGCTTGTCCCCTGTCCACAAATTGTTGGTTTAATAGCAATGAACAGAGTAAATCCCTAACCCTTTTGCTTACATCTGGCTAGCCTTACTGGGTATGCTGAAGCTGTATATATGTCTTGCTAGAAATAAAGGTATAAAAACAAGTCTTGTGATGAGTACCTACTTAGTTCACAGACTGCCACTACTTCAGATAAATAATGGACCATTCTGCTTTAATTGTAATGAAAGATAGGATCTATCAGACACTATTTGGTTTTATTGAGAAAAAGAAAACATATATAGCAAGAAAGGGAAGATAGAGGAGGTGATAACACTTTCATGCATTTTTAATCTTTTCATTTGTACACTCTTACTTCTTTAAATTATGACCTATGGAATAAATATCAAAAAATATTTAAAAAGTACTGCAGAATTTCTGCAAGCTCCCACTAGTTACTACTTTTTAAATACTATTACAACTAATACTACTTGGAAAAAGAATAAAGGCTGTGTGGTTTAATTCAAATTATTATAATCATTTAGCTTAATTGCTAAGGCAGCTATCATGAAAACACAAGTTTCCAAGGGTAAGGATACAAATTTGTTTCATTAAGGGCTTGTTCTTAGTTTCTTATTCACACTGTTTACTAATAATCATGGAATATTATTGAAAATTAAAAAGCAAAAAGGTAATATGAAATAAATACTTGTGAAAAATTTGTAATACTTGACAATGTTTCATCTCAGAAATTCAAATGAAGTTAGATTTTCTTTTGCCTGGGAGATAAAAAACATTTGGAGATATTTTTTTTGATAATTAAAATCTGTAAGAAATGCTTTTTCAAATATATTTTTTTACTTTTTGATTTCTTTTTATATATTAATTGCATATTTTAAATTTTCAGGCTGCATGTCTAATCAGAGTTCCAGTTGAGATAATCAAACAAAGAAGTCAAACATTACCACATCTGACATCAGGCACAATTGTCAAAAACACTTTCAAATCTGAGGTGAGTTCTGTAAAAAGGTAACAAAATCAAACTACCTAATTTTTTCTCCTAAAATCTTTAGTGATTCCACAAAAATAATTTTAGTCAGATATTTAATTATCTTCATATAACATTTTGAATTTTTCTTATTGCAATACTAATTTTAAGCATTGTGATGTAATGGATATCAGCTCAGAATGAGAAATCAGAGCTGAGTTTGAATTCCAGTCAAGTTCATTGAGTCAGTCAGTCGTTCACTTTCTGAGCGACTGTTCGGTTTAACTCTCTTCCTACGGGCGGGAGGAACCCGAAGGAGGCTACGCCCGATTATCGGAGTCTCCTTCGGGGAGGTAAAACCGGCCCTGAACCCGTTTATGCGGGTTCAAATGGGCTATTTTTTGGCCGAGCCTAATGGCTTGGGAATTGCCCACGTTAAAAAGGCCTTGTGCCACATGACACCCTCGTGGGGGGGGGGTGACTGAATATCGTCAAGTTCATTATATTCACTTATGCACAAATACCTTTGGGAAAGGTATGAATCCATCTCTTCTCCCCGCCCCAGCTATGGGTTGAATAACAACACAGACTGGGTTCTATAGCCTTGGTTGGCAACCAGTCTACCACAAAAAGAAATGGTGACCTACTGCAGAAAAATGTTCTGCTTAGTTATTAATTGAAAGTGACATGATCTCCAAAAGTTACTTACATTGGATAAAACAAACTTTCTGTTTAGTGTCTTTGGAAAAATAAAAATAAAAATAAAATTGCAATGCACTAAAAGAAAATATTTTCTAATTCCTCTTATTTACTTCATTTACTTAATAGAGTTTTGTTCCTCTTACCTGAATAATGGTAACTATGTCACAGCAGGGAATAGAATTTGTAAGGTATTGAAACCATTATATGGATATCTCTATCCAGACATGTCTGAAAGCCACCTTTTTAAAACTGAATTAACTTAGCCATACATACATATATGATTCCATTGCTACATAGGAATTACCATGTTTCAGAAACAAGCTAAAAACTTCCAATTCAATTATAGAAATTAAATTAAATTAAAGCACTTAGTTTTGTTTCATCTTCAAGCGAATTTTGGAATAACTAATTTTGAAATTTACAATATTTGTTGGTGTTGGCAAAAAATCATGAGATAATGATTTTTTGCCAACACCAACAAATATTCGCCTTAAATAAGTAGCTTAAAAAATTTTAAATTTCAAAATCTATAAACAAGTTCAATTAGAGCTATAGGTTTAATAACTTAACCCAATCATAAGCTAAAAAAAACCTTTAAGAAGTCATCAACAAAGAAACAAATTGTAGTTCAATACAATGTGTTCATATACAAACAACCTTTTAGGAAAAAAAAATCTTTATGTATACAAATACAAACTTAACGACGTAACAAAAGTGCCAAAATCTTTCTGTCGTTGAAAAAGACCAGACGATATGTGTTGAACAGATGTCATCATTCGTTTGAAAAAAGGCACCCCGACCCTACCTTGACTTAACCTCTTTTTGAAAGTAACTAATATGTTGATACAATAGTTGTCAGTGAAAATGAATACCTTACCGCCCCTTATTAAAATGACTGTTTTTTTTCCATTTCCATAGAAACTAATATTATGAATGTATATGCTTATAAAGCGCCGTAAATTTCAAAATTAGTTATTCCAAAATTAGCTTGAGGATGAAACAGAACTAGGTACTTTAATTTAATTTCTATAATTGAATTGGACATTTTTAGCTTCTGTTTCTGAAACATGGTAATTCCTATGTAGCGATGGAATCGTATTTTTTTAAAAACAATTATAATATTGGCTCTACTTTTGTATCAAGCACTGTTTTTTTAAAAATAAAAACAAAAATACTAAAGAACTTTGGATTATTAACCTAACGGTTTTTTCCTATTTTGCAATTTATTTGCACACACACACATATATATATATATATATATATATATATATATATACACATGCACACACACAATTTCTACCATTATTGACTTATATATCCACTTATAAAATGAGTATTAAATTTTTTAGCATTTTTTCACTATTCTCCTTTTTGTCATTGTTGCTTTTTAAATAAATTCCATTCAACAAATTATTAGATAAATAATCTTGGCGATGAAGTCAAATCTAACTTTTTTCCTCTTCATAGGGTATTCCAGGATTCTACCGAGGTTATTTAAGCACAATAACCAGAGAGATTCCGTTCTCTCTTATTCAATTTCCTCTTTGGGAATATTTCAAGGTAAGTATATATATATATATATATATATATATATTGCATTATTGTTATTAATATTATATGCTTATAAGAAGTTATTAGTATACAGCCTATATATTTTTTCAATATAGTTTTCTTGGAGTAAATGGGAGAATAAAGATGTGGATCCTTGGCAGTCATCAATTTGTGGTGCTTTGGCAGGTATGTGATTCTTTCTAATATATTTTTCACTTTCACAGAGTAGGGCCTAGGATAGAGCCTTGGGGAACACCTGTATTCGTGGGATAGGAGCTGGAGGAGAATCCGTTGAGAACGACCTTCAATACACAGTTTGACAAGAATGATTGTATTAAGTCAAACAATCAACCTGAAATTCCATAACCCTGAAGCTTGCCAAATCCTATCAAACGCTTTGGAGATATCTAGAGCCACTGCATGAGCTTCTTCATTATTATGAAGAGCTTGGTAAACAATTTCAGTTATGGCCATAAGCACATCAGCTGTAGAACGGGCAAAGCGGAAACCATATTGCTTGTCAGAGAGCAGATCATGGGATGTAGGTGCTTAACCACTTCAGCATTGATTAAAGCTTCAAAGACTTTGCCGAAGAGTGGTAGGAGACTGATAGGGCAGTAATTAGAAAGGTCAGAAGGGTCTCTAGAGTTCTTAAAGACAGGAACAATGGATGAGGACTTCCAACAGTCTGGAAAACAAGATTCATTGAGGCAGTAGTTATATAATTTGGAAAGGGCAGGGGCCAGTCTCGGTGGACACTTCTTCAGGACAATGGCTGGTATCCCATCTCCACCACTAGCCTTCTGGGGGTCTAATTTAGAGATAATGCCCAATGCAACTTGCTCAATAGAGCCTCAGTTCTAAGGGGGAAATTGGGTGTGGGTACACCGGAAGAGTCGAGCATTGAATTGAATGAGAATTTCCAAGCAAAGCATTCAGCCTTGTCAGCAGAAGAGGTCAGAACCTGAAACTGGTTGAACAAAGGAGGTATAGAGGGTTTGCTATTGTTAAGTACGCTCTTGCAGAGATGCCAATAATCCTTGGAACCGAATTTGTGAGATGCAATATGTTCTTTCATTCAAGCAGCAAATAGTGACTTTGCTTCATTGAGGACAAGCTTCCACTCGTTACAGGCAGAGACAAAGAGACGTCTATTGCAGTCAGACATGTCGCTATGATATAGGTGGAAGAAATGATTTCTATGAGCAATGGCAGGTTCTTTGCAGGGGGTGGAGTTGAAGGAGATCTTGACAGACACTACAGCATGATCGGAGTTGCCAAGAGGGCAGAGCTGCGTGGTGCTACAGGACTCAGGGATGGAGGTGAAACATAGATCAAGAAGAGAAGCCTTACTGTCCAGGTTGTAGGGAAAATGTGTGCGGAAGTCAAGTATTTACAGGAGGGATTGAGAAATTGAAAAATTAAGGGTTTGTATGTCTGTAGCATTTTTAAGCCACTTGGTATGATGGGTGTTAAAATCACCAAACACGAATATGTGAGCAAATGGATGGAGAGAGAGCCTTGTCAATGCTGTCAGAAATGCATTCGATTACACCACAGTCTTGGGAGGATGGAGAGCAATAAAGGAAGAAGAGGTAGCTTACAGCATTGAGAAGAGATAGCTGGAGACACATGTACAAATGATCTGGAGATTCAAGAGACAGGTCTCTAGCCAGCAGGAGATGGTCCTCGATGTAAACTCTAAGGCCATGCATGTGGGTTTGAGAGTCTTTTCTGAGGAGAGGAAGGTAGCCAGGGATCGAGAGGTCAGAGGAGAAGATAGACGAGTCATGGTTGGTCTCACAGAGAGCCAGTATATCCAGGCAGTTCGCAATGAGGAAATATTCTACATTGCAAAAATTGGTTCTAATGTTATGGATGTTTACAATAAAGTCACATTAGATAGACTGAAAACCTAAAGATGATATGAATTAATCATTTTCATGTTTGTTAATCAAACATTAATTAATTTCAAGAGTCTATTTCAGTTATTTTTATTTTTAAATGTTTTAAAATTGCTTTTGATAATATATTTTATTAGCTGGTAATGTTAAGGACCTGTGGAAAGTTGAAAGAAAATCAATAAATAAAATAATAATGGATAAAAAGAAAAAGAAATACATTTTTCCAAGATGCTAGTAATAAAGGAACAGGAAATTGGTGATCCACTCAAACCCTGGGCTGATTGCAGCACCATCTGTGATGATCTAACCCTTGGCTGGTTTGGATGGAAATCTGGTTTACCATCGAACCATGTGTGACACTAACCCCTCTGGTTGTCTTGGTTGCAGTCGATGTCTGGTTAGATTCAATATCAGCTTTGTCGTTCCCAGCTTGCCTCCAATGTCTGGTTACTGAAGTAACTGCTTTGATCTCTAGTCTAACCTACCCACATTGTGATTTGATCTTAGGTAGACAAAATCAATCAGGCGTCGGGCTGTAGTGCAAGCTGAATCCGAGGCAAAGGTGATACCGCACAAGTGTATGTAAAAGAAAAATAATGAAATAAACTCAAGAGGTTCAAATGTGTTGAAAAAATAACAAGTATCTTTATATCTGTCTGCTGAATACAGGAGTGCGTCTTTTGCCCAACCCGCTTCTATGGATTCATGACCCTTTCGCATTTCTTAAGCGAGTCTTGATATCTTAAGTTGTTTTTCAATAAACTGCTTTTTGGTATCTTCAGGCGATATTCATTAAAACTTGCTTTGGTGGTGTAAGTCTAAGTCGTTCTTCATTAAAAAAAAATTGCTTTTGGTTAGAAGTCTAAGTCGGAATGCATGGAAATCTTTCGGTCAACTCCTGTGAGGCTGGTCTCCGAGCTCAACAGCTCTCTTGGACTCTTTCTGAAACTGTCAGAAACTCTCTCTCAAACTCTGAGGTTGTTCGTTTATATGGACGCCAATCAAAAGCGGGTTGGGGCCTGTCGTGGTTTGGGTTCTTCAATAATTCCAAATCCCCAATAAAGATGCTCTTTGTCTTCAAACAGGAAAATTTATCACTTTCCATTTTTGGAAGTCAATTACTTTCTGTTTTAGAGGGGTTCTCTCCCTTCTGTGGGGAGAGGTCGGAGGAGAATTATCCTCCTAAACTCTTCCTTTTTCATATTGGTATCTCATACCAATCCCTTCAGTGGGTGTCAACAGGTTTCCCTTTTTTCTCATATGTTCACCTTCACCCATCACTCACGCCACCACTCATCCAATGAACGCTCAGCAGTGTGGGTGTGGCTAGACTGGCCTCAGTTTACAATTATCGCCCAAAGAAAAAATTATCTTCCCTTTTCTTTCTTTCTTTTCTATCGGCCAGAATTCTTATGAATCGCATATTGCGACCATTAAATTCTTATCTTAACTTGGGGTCACCTGGAATTCATTAGCAGAGTTCACTAGTCAACAATTAACTGGGTGGTTGTCTCCATTTGGAGACTAAATCTCTTTGTTGTCTCAATATTATCGCATTCCCAGATGCGTGTTCGCTGTGACAAAAAGTCTGTCGTTAATAGTTTGAACAGGTAGTAACAATGGCTTTCTTCGTTGTTTTTTTTTTAAGATAACCGAATTCCGATTAATTCTGCTTTTATGCAGCTGACCAAATTGAAATTTTTATTATTGCTACGTGTGTGGCAGATTGTTATTCTTTATCCGTATTCTGTTTCCCTTGGTACTCCACTCTCTTTATCATGACAAGATACGGACATAAAACAGATGGGTCTCTTCGCTGGATGCAAGAACCAAAACCAAATGATATCTCCAAAAGATAATTAGTGGCTAATCTTTTAGGGTGGTCTCATTGAAATTCCTTCTCGGTCGCATGCTTGGCCTAGTTTTGTTTATCTTTTAGAATTCTGTTTTCCTTGTCGCGTCATGACACTAATTAATTCTAACAATCCGAAACCTGCGTCTCTTACGAATTTTCTGTCTTCTGCGAAAAGAATATCTTTGTTCATAAATGAAAATAAAATCTTTACCCATTTTTCTTTTGTTAAAAAAATAATGTTGCTCAGTATGTCATTTGTTATAGCTCTTTCTTGCCTAAAGTATTTCTCGTTTTTAATTTCCATGCTTAATTAGTCAGCCTTATTATCATAGCTAAATAGTGTCACAAATTTTATTACTCCAGTTTGCTTCATTAAATGTCCGTTAGGTAGCACTGTTTAAGTCTCTAAAAAGACAAACATTTTTCTTCCTAATTTTTTGTTCCCTCTTGCTCCAAGATGTAGCATGTTCGTTTCTCCAGTTCACTGCTGACTGAATTCTCTTTTTCACTTTCCAATGCAGAGCGTTCACAGGTGTTTTCTAAAACCTTCACCTATGAAGTAAATTCGCCCTTTTTTTCAAGTCAACCTTGCTGACTTAAGCTTGACCATTTTAACCATGCTTACCATGATTTGCCCAAACTTACTTCTGGAAAAATAAAACTCTCTTCTACTTTCCAATGCATAGCATTTGCATGTTTTGCCAAAACTCCACTGGTGAAGTAAGACAATTTTGTTAAGCTCTTGCTTGATTCACCACTTTCACACCAAGTTAGCTTCCATCTTTTCTCTGGGTTGCCTATATATATATATATATATATATATATAAAAAGGCAAAAGACTAGTTCAATGATTGTCCAATAATAATCTTATAATTATTTCCATGCAAGTAGTAGTGCCACCTGTGTAGATCTACCTTTTCCAAACTGCCATTTTGCCCAGGGAAATTAAGTCAACATTAATTTTTTCTTCTTTTTTTTTTCCACTTTGAAAAAAAAACAAACAAAATGAAAAAATTCAAATAGTGATTGTCAACCATCCTTCTTGGACAGTTTTCAATAATTCAAATTCAGAGATTTCTTTGGTTGGTCAAATAAACTCTCACTTTTTTTTCAAAATCTATGCCTGATAAAAATCAACATTTATTCTGGCATTACTCAGAAGTTCAAAACAAAGGATCTCCTCTGGTAACTTTACTCCTTTTCTGTAGAATTTTGTTGTATTTTTGTTCAAATTCATGAATGTAATCATCAAACTTATGATCCTGTTCTCTTCTGTAATTTTTGAATTTATCATATTTATCCAAATTGTCTTCCATGTCATCTTTTCCCAGTTTTTTCTCCATAAATGCAATTGAGGTCTTCATCTTTCCTCAGATCCTCCATTTTTTTTAAATTTTTTTTTTCAGTTCCATCATTTGTTGCCTTATTACTGTTAGGTCATTTTCTCATAGTGATAAGGCTACTGTAATTCCTATCTTATCTTTTGCTAATTCTGTGACTTCTGTCCACCTCTCTATCCAGCTTTTGAATGTATTTTTCTGTGCTGTCAAAAAGTAGGTGCTTCAATTTTAAAGCCATGATGCAATTATGTTCTGCTACCACTGTTAAGCTCCTGCGAGATTCACCCCTTTTCACTCTGGTCACTTTCACTCTAAGATGGTTTCCTTCTTCTCTCTGGGTGGCCTCATTATTATGAACTGCAGAAGATCTGTTCTTATCAATAACAAAGAACAGTGGATTAAGAACAATTCTGTTGGTCAATTTGATATTTCCATGGGATCGTTAGATTCTGCTGTATTCCAACCTTGTTGGTTTATTTATTTTATATAATCTTATGTCTATGATGATATTAACATTGATAATATAGGGTTATATAGAGATGATGGCCTTATGTTAGTGAAAAATTCCACAAAAATTAAAGCTGACAAAATCAGAAAATTAATACATAGAGAATTTAAGTTTTAACCTTAAGATCAATACTAAATTTAAAAAAAGTAGATTTCCTTGATGTTACATTAGACCTAGTTAATAATGTATTCCAACCCTACATGAAAACAAATGCCAATCCAATATACATCAACCTGAATTCTAACCATCCTCCATCTGTAATCAAATGCATACCATCATATAGAGAATATAGGATTAGCAATAACTCATCCAGTGAAAATGTCTTTTACAAGCATAATAAAGTTTACAATACTGCCTTAAAAAATAGTGGCTATAAGTACACTGACATCAAATGTATAAAACATAACAGCAGCAATTGTAGGAATAAGAATAGAAACAGGAAAATCATTTGGTACACACCCCCATTTAACCAAATAGTACTAAGTTAGGGGAGAAGTTCCTCCATTTAATTGATAAACACTTCCCCAGAAATAATCCACTCAATAAAATTTTTAACAGAATACACTAAAACTAAGCTGTAGCTGTACAGATAATCTTGAAAAAATTATTAAAAAAACATAATAAAATTTTAAACCAATACAAAAATCTGAGTAATAATAGCCATTCCAAAGCAACAAACACTGATAATACCAACAAGTGTAATTGTAGAAATTATAATCAATACTCATTGTAAAACTGATGTCAAACTCTCTTGTTTACCTAAGCACTATTTCTACTATAGAAAATCCAACAGTTAAAAAATTTTTATGTTGGAAATACCAAGAATTCTTTTAAAACTAAGTGGTATCAACATATATTATCTTTCACCAATAATGCTTACAAAAATATGACATCCCTTTCTAAATATTTTTGAAACTTAAATGAAGTTAACAAAATTCCTACGGTAAAATGGAAAATACTAAAAAAAAGCTAGAACCTATAAATCTTTAAATAAACCTTGCTTCTTATGCTTACATGAAAAATTAGAAATTATTCAATTTGCTGACAAAAATGTTTGCTAAACCAAGTGAATTAACTGTAAATTGCCAACACTCTTTATCTTTTACCTTACAATATATTTTAATTTTAAAAATTAGTGTAGCAGACATAGCGAACCAGAACCGAACTCAAGGAGTGGAAGTGGTGAAAAGACTTGCCTGCATCTTGAAGAGAAGGAGTTTGTCTCGGTATGACATGTAGGACTTCAATTTGAGACCATCAGATGAGACCATCCTGCAGAAAAGAGTGAGTTCTGTCGAGGTATATCATATGATACATGCAGTTTTGATAGAACGAATAAATGAAATGGATTCAAGGCAGAGAATGACGATAAATATCAAGAAACCAGTGTAGAGGAGAGAAATGCTCAATCTGAATTTGTGTCCCACAACAGAGTCACTAATTTCTTTTGACCACAATTAGGTAGCACAATTTCTTATAGCCATAATTTATAAGTAAATAATGGTACATCCTCTGAGTAATTATCTTTTGTTTATTCAGATTTAGTATTGCTATGCATTGCCATCCAGTTAGTATTATTTATATCTTATCTAGATGTTCCACATTTTTATTTTATTTACAGGTTCCTTTAACAAGTTTCTTGAATCTGAAATTTAAAAAAAAAATTTTTCTTATGAAATTTACTTTGTCTGATTATCCTCCTTCCTCTCCCCCTCAGTGTGCTTTGAAAAATTGGACATGTCTACAATCATAATATTTTTGTTGCTTACATGTTTTCCGCAATTGACAATGATGACCTGTCTAAGCTCTGGTTTGTCATGTCATGAAAAAATAACTCCCTCACCTCCACCCTCTGTAGTGCCAAAATATGAAAGCTATTATGTAGTGATTTCAACATGTTATTGTTGTAATATCTTATAATAAAATAATAATAATATATTGCTCTACTTTGTATTGAGTACTTTTTAAAAGCAAATGCTATGAACAGCATAATTTTACTTCATCTGTTCTTCCTCAAATTTGGATATAAATATATACACACACACACACACACACGAGGCTAGCTCACTGATTGGCCAATTCTAATCTTATAATTATTCCCATGCAAATAAGTTAGCAGTACCACCTGTGTATATCTGCCTTTACAAAACTGCCATTTTGCTAAGGGGAATTAACTCAAAAAGTTTTATTTTCGGCGTTCCAACTCAGCGCAAGGCTAACTTAAGGTCGACCATTATCACTACTGATGAAGTAAATACAAACATTCTCTGATCATTTTGATTCAGCACAAGGCTGACTTGAATTCAATCATTATAACAATGCTTATCTTTACTTACCCTAACTTCTAGACCAAAAAAAAAGAAAATGGACATACCCAAGAGACATTGATATAAAGGATTTCAAATTTTGTTAGAACAATATAAAGAAAGGGTTCAGCTATCGGAAAAGAATTTAGAATGCTAATGACATCTCTCAAAGTTGTAAAAATTATTGTTGTTGCTGCATTTCCTTGGATTTTTATGATGTTTATTATGTTTTCTAGGTGGGATTGCTGCTGCTATTACTACTCCTTTAGATGTTGCTAAAACTAGGATAATGTTAGCAAAAGTAAGTTTCATTTATTGCAATGACCTGATTTAACAGTAGTAAAAATGTTTAATTTTTAAATAACAAAACTAAATTTAACAAAATATACAAAAAATGTTTAATCAGAAGATAATGCAAAATATGTCAACACATGCAATATTTAACCATGGTTATTAAATATGGAAGGAATATATTTCTACATACAGGTATACCTTGGGTTACGCCGTTTCAAGTTAAGTCATTTTCAATTACGTCGTTTTGTCAAAAAAATACATGGAAAAATAAAAATCAAGTTTTTATTTTATTCAATTTTACGTCTGTCTGCCACAAATATTGAAGTCATAGTATCACTAGAAAAATCATATTAAAATACATACACTTACAGTAAATGTTAATATAATCATCATAAATCCTACAGAACAAAATAGGAAAACATCTGTAACTCAGTGTTGTTGTCTTATGCAGTGGTCTTTAAGAGCTCAATATTGACGTTTTCCATGGTAGTTTCAATATCTACCATTTGGCAGCATCATCAGTGCCACTCGTGATTACCATGAAACTGAAATCCAGTTTAGGCATAGGCATGGTATATGTCTGCTTATTGCCTACTCTCTCATTGATTTGTGACTTTATATTTTGCTCCAATGGTGCCTAAGAAAATTCCTACTGCAAGTGCTAAGCATTATGCTATAACGCTGGACAATAAACTTACTGATAAAACACCATGAAAAAGGTGAAAAGGTTATATCGATTGCTCAATCTTTTGGACTTAGTCAGACAACTGTATTGGCGATTGTTCACAATAAGGATAAGATTTTCGCATATATCAAATCTGATGCCCCAGGGTGAAGAATACTGTTATCAATAAGAAAAGAGGAAAAATCTTTGAAGAGATGGAACAACTTCTTTCTCTTTGGATTGATAGGTTGAATCATCAGTGTGCTGCTATTAGTCAAGAAATCATTCACATGAAAGTGTTGTCTTTGAAGACCTAAACAAAAAATACCCAGATGAGAAAGATGTAGAGTTTAAAGTGAGTCAAGGCTGGTTTATGAGAGTTAAAGAATAATCACTCAACTGACAAACAAGCAGCAGCCAATTTTCCTAAAGCACTGGCTAAGATCATCAAAGAAAATTGGTTTCTTCTTGAAGAACTGTTTTTTAATGTTGATGAAACTGGATTATATTGAAAAAAATTGCCAGACCATTTTTTCATTGCTAATGCGAAGCATAAGGCTATATAACTGATAAATTATTTTATTCAGAATATTATATGTACATATAAATACTGTAATATGCAATGGGGCGTACTTATTTGCGATTTATAGTGTGGTTATTTTGACTTAGGTTGTGACCTCTGGAACCAATTAACAGCGTAGGGTGAGGTATATCTGTACTTAATAGATATATTTAGCAATTTTTCAAATATTACTAAAGCCAGTAGAATATACAACAATAAATACATTTAAGAGTAGTTATTCTTCTCAATTATTAACTAACAATGTTTATTTTATCTTCAATAAAATATTTCAAATATATGGAGCGCACTGTTTTGTTTTTTTTCTCAAAAAATATTTTGCTAACCCCAAAAAAACTGTTAGGTAAATTATCACACTTATAAATACACATACACTTCATTATTTGTCTTTTTCTATTTGCAGCATGGTAGCTCCCTTGCTACTGGGCAAATCATATCTGCTCTGAAAGTTATATACAAAGAGAATGGTATTTCAGGGTAAGCTTTTTTTTTTTTTTTTTACAAATTCAATATTCTTGATATACAGAACCAGTAGACCAAACTTAAACTGATTTGGTCTTTTTATCAGGAATATAAGATAATCACTATTGAGATATTGGGAACTGTGAGAAATTAATGGTATAACACTTATCTACATTCTCATGTGAAAGGTTTTTGTTTAGATTACCTCAGTCATTTCTCTCATATATATTTTAAACGTTTCCTCAGTCTAGTTATATATATATATGGGTAGTGTGATAGATACTGATGTGCTATCAGTAGAGCTGAGTTCAAATATTCAATTTCTAAGGCAGATACTTATTTGTATGATCTTCTGTAGTGAAAATAACTTAAGCACTTTCAATTAAAAATCACCTTCAATTTTTTTTTTAGTAGTATGACCCACTTTATAAAGAGCCACATCTCATGTGGCCCACTGCTAAAAAAAAAGGTTGCCTGTAGCGGATTTATACCTTAATTGTTAATATTAATGCAAATTACCAAACCTTTTTCAATGTCAGTGTTCCAAAAAAATCAAATAAACATTTAAAAAAAAAACAAAAAAAAAAAACTGTCCTATTTTATATGAGAACATTAATAAAACCATAGTAATACTGAAATCAATGATTTGAAGTTGATATTTATTCATTTTGCAGATTGTTTGCTGGAATTGTTCCCAGAGTTTTGTGGATTTCCATTGGTGGAGCAATGTTCCTCGGAATATATGACAAAGTTAAGGTATTAGCATCACAGTTGCTGAACAGTGAGAGGGCTGACTCTTGACATTAACTCAATATCATGAAAATATGTTAGAAGAAATCAATCATTTTATATACTGATTAACACCAATGTCATGAGAAATAATTACAAAAATTCTCATAAGCATTTTATAAAATTGTTCTGTCTGTACAAATAAACTGAAGTTTGTGATTTTTGAGTCTTAAAACTTTAAAATGATGTCTAAGTTACATTTTATAAGTAGAAAATTTACTGAAGCCTTCATATTTAAAATACAAGCTGTATTTTCTGCTCTTATTAGTCAATAACAATCAATATTGTTGAATTTCTGATGACACAAATGCCTTACTGAACCTTTTCTCCAATTTTAGTTTCATATTTTGAGATGGGTTTTTAGTTAGCTATCCTCATCTTTCTTTGTTATTTTACATTTCAACCAGTTCACTTGTTTTTTTCGAGTAAATATATCATTGCAGTATTTATAATCTGCGCTGGGTCTCATAGTATTTCTCTGTTGACTCAGTTCTACCAAATATTAAGTCAGAGTAGCAACACCACATTTGTTAACTAATTCTGCTTGCTACATAGCTTGAATTTTTATGGGTTTTGTCAATTACATAAGTGAAAACTACTTGGATGTCTTATGAAATAAGTAATGATGGTGGTCATAAGGAGCAGCTAAATACTAGCAAGAGAATTGTAATGACTGTATTAATTTTTCAAAAACAAAGTCAACTTTTACTACAAGATTATTGCATAAAGCATATAATGAAGACAAATGATGAGGATTTACAATCTTAGTAAATTGTATTTCGTTTTAAGGTAAAGATTTACTTATTTCAATAAGAATCTTTTAAAATGTTTTCTGTTATCAAGAGATTATAATCGGTGATCCTTGACTGGTATATTTTCCTTTCTGACAATAGATCACAAAATGACATGAAATGTATTTATGCCCCTATAGTATACCCAACAAAAATGAACTTCAACTGGACACTGGTATAATAGTAATTTCCTTCTTACTTTTGTTTCCTTAAGGGAAATCAGGAATTAACTGGATCTCAAATTTCAATTAATGCGCTCAGTATAATTTACATTTCAGTAAAGTCATTATTGTGCCAGGCTTATATAAAATATATTTAAACCTTTTGCAGCATAAAAATGGTTTATCCAGGAAAAAAAAAAAACTACTTTGCAGACAAAAATCTCAACTTTGTCATTAACTCAAGTCTTATTTAGCAATGACCCTATTAATACAATGATTTTTAATGCATTCTTTTTGTTACTATTTTCAATGTTTTATTAAGCTTAGAAGAAAGATTTTGATTATTGTTTGATATTGAATGAATCTGTCAACATTAAAATTGAAACGACCAGTTAGGTAAGAATTTTTTTTAAAATATTGATTACCTAACATTTTTCAATCCGTATAATCTACCATATTAGGCCTTATATGTGGCCAATTTCCATATTTGTAGCAATGCTTTACCAATTTTAGCCAGAAAACAAAGCACTGAAATTTGTATCTGAATTTCTCGGACAAAGAATTACTATTTACACATGGTCTGTTTCCTTTGTGCTCTCCAGCCTTTATCAGGTGTTTGCCAAGGTAATTTTTAATCTATACCCATTTAGTATTGCTCAGTTATTTCTAGCCCTTTTTCCACGAGTCTAAGTTCAATATAGCTCAAGAATTGAATTTACAATCAATGTCACCAAATTCACAAAACAATGCTTTAATCCACTAGACTATCTCCTGTGAGACAATTCTGAGTAAAGAACTTGGAGCCTTAAATATAATCTGCCTGCTGATGAATGCAGCTACTTGTTATGTTTGACTGCACTCAAAGTTTTTATTTTTTATTAGCTTCTTAAGGAGAAAAAAACTGCTAGGGTCTGTCTTCCTTATATCAAGTGCTTATGGAAAAGATTCTGTGGATAATATTCAGAAGCCATGCTACTCTACAGAGAAAGCTCTTCTGAGTCAAGACCAAGACAACATCATAGACAAGAATTATATGTACACCATCCCTAGCCACTCTAAAAGTAAGAAAGCTGTAATTAGGAGCAAGACAAAAAAATCAGAAATGGCTGATCATGTATGAAGGAAAACAGTAGTCACCCCTCTGCAGAATGAAGTAAAAAAAAAAAAAATACTGGATAAAGAACAGTGGACATCTGAAAAAAATCAGCAAATATACTAGGCTATGAGAATCTCCTTAGTAGACCTTGCATAAAAATATGAAATGGAGTCATTAATAAATAAAGAGACATGACAACAAGATTTCCATAGCAGCTGCAGTAAAAAGTGAAACCGTAATGATTCTTCATTCAGAAGTGGATTAAAAGCATTGATGTGTGAATTTGGTGACATAGTAATTGAGAGTTCAATCTTTGGGTCAGGCATTGTGCATTTGGATTCTGAGGAAAGAGAGTGAACAATAACTGAGCAGTACTAAATAGAACAATCTATCCTCCCCACATTAAATAAAAGGCTTAGTTCAAAATTCCCTGAAGGTTACCTGGATCAACAAGCACCTTATGAAGGTTGGAGGCCATCTTGTGATAACAGCAAAGATGGAGACAATAGTCTGCATGCAAATAAGGCACTGAAAATAACACCATATGCAAAAGATAGCATTAGCTTTCTAATACAAAATGCATATGAAAAGAATATTGTAGCTGCATAAAGCCTAAATATACTAGAGATGTTGATAGATGCACTGCAAACCTAGCTTTGATTACTCATTTTACTAATTTCTAACTTGAACCGTTTCAGACCTGCTACATAAAAAAAAATAGAGTTAAGATCTTTAAAAGTGTTCAGAGTCAAATTTACAACCACTGAACCTTTTGGTTGCAAAATGTTGATAGTGATCTTTGTCACAATGCTTTGATATTTGTGAGTCATAAAACAAATCTTTCAGACAGAGTGGACACTTGCTGAATGAGCTACTATATATTAAAATCAAAGATTGACAGCCCAAACAATTTATTTTCATTCCAAATAATTAAAATTTATCAAAAATGCATTCAATGTATGGAACTTATTAGCATCATAGAATTAGCTTTAAATTTACATTAGATAACACTTTCTCCATTTTCCTTTATTATATTAAGCATTGTTTTTAATTTTTTTTTTTTTTTTTTAAGATAAAATTTCATTAATTAGATGTTAATATATATATATGAAATTGAGAATTGAAGTCTGTTTATATATATAAAATGAAAAATAAACAATTCAGCAGTCTGTTGCAGAATTAATATGAAACAATGGCAACATTTCATCAAAATTTCAATTTGCAAATAACTTCAAGTTAAAGAATATAAGATTTTATTTTCATACACAACTTCGAAGGCATCAACTGTTTACAGAAATATACGCAATCATATAAATATGTATATATAAATTCAAATAATAATGCTTATATTAATGTTTTTTTCACATTTGTCATAAAATTTAGTACATGTATAAAATTATTTCACTATATATTTCATAAAAACAAAACTCAACTACATTTTGTTAAAAAGGTATTCATAACAGTATTGTATTTTGAAAAAAAAAAATTTGAAAACCAAATTTGTAAAAAGAGTCTGCATATATTAACAGTAGATGTTTATACCATTAAGTATTGCAGATTTTGACAAATATTTAAATTAAAGAATATTTTGCCAGTATATTAATTCATATTTTGCAATGAGGCTTGTGTTTAATATTTATTTACTTATAACAATGATATGTATTTAACATTGTCAAACATTATTCAATTGTTTGTATTAAAATAAAAAAAATATTACTATTCTAACTTCTTTCACCATTTTAAAGTATGAAAGGTGAAATTTGCCAGTTGTTTTTTTAATAAAAAATGTTATGCAAAAAAAAAAAAAAATATATATAAATAAAAAAAGGTAGTTAAAATATATATTTTGTCAAAATGCTTGACAATATTATGGACGGTATGAGAAAGTAGAATTTAGCAAAATTGGCTGGTAGAAGCATGAGTAAATGAAAATTGAATACAATATGGACGGCATGAATAAGGGAACTTCATCCAAAGGTAATAAATAAGGTGAAACCTGCCAATGGATTTAGTAAAAAAAAAAAGTGGAGGGGTCAAGAAAATTTCGTATGATACATATGTAAAACATTGACAGGATTACAGAAAAATCTGCTCAGAACAAAATGTAAATGTTATGAAATATTCTTGTACTTATAAAATAGATGGTTTGGTAAAAATTTTCATCTGAAGTAGAATAATTAATATGATTGGATGAAACATTGATTTAAAAAATAAAAAAGATAATATAAATCTGCTAAACATAGAAAAATTAGTTTTTCTTTTATAAAAATATAAAAAACAAATGTAAGCAGAATAAAAAAGAATTAGAAATCAAAAGTATTAAATTTCTCCATGTTGATATAAGTATAAACAAGAATATTTTTAGCAAGGTGAGAACAATAGCAGAACACAGAAAACTACATAAACAATAATTGTAACAAAGTCACAGAGCTTTAAATTTCATTAGTTTTCTTCAAAAGAACAATCCTAAGAAAAAATTGCAATTAAAAAAAAGTAGTAATAAAAAATATCTCTTGTGAAACATATGCCCACAAAAATCAATACCAAACAATTACTGTAATAAATAAGATATAGATAAGAACTGGATGGTATCAAGTGGTAAATTGCTAAAGACACTTGATGGTATGTAGAAAATGTGAATTGCAACAGATTCAATATTTTAGCCTTTACCATGACATGGATAAACACTCCAAATTATTAATGTACAGTAGAAATTTTTCATTAGATACAGGCATAATCATTATAGTGGGTGGGTGTGAATAAACAATTGTTAAGCAAATTTAGCACCATTAGAAATATCCAAAGCCATACAACTTATAAATCATGTACAATGAGAATGATAATTGTTATTAAAAAAAAATGAATGAAATTGGCCTACAAAAGTATAAGTAAATAGACTATTATCACACTTCAAGAGCACAGGAATTGTCAAATTATGTAAAGGGAGGTTATTGCTGATTAATCTGAAAGTGGAATAAACCAGCATAAAATAGACTTTAAATTAAAAAAAAAAAAGATCTGAAGTCATTACGAAAGTTTCTTCATGCAATGAAATAAGCAATTGAAAAAAAAAAAACCTTCATTGCAAAATCAAAATCAAAAATAGTTGTTTGGTATTATAACAGAACAGTCAGAAGTAATCTACTTAAACTGATATTTAACAGAGTAAACAACTGAGATACCATACATATCTGAAGTTTTGGCTCAGTCACCTTTTTAAATAAATGTTGGTATGAAGTTTGCTGAGCTAAGATTATTGTTTGAATTGTTCAGTATCAGACAAGGCATATCATTATTTTTATGGTTGTTCAAAGCTTTTCAAGTTTGTGGGGGAGAAAAACTAAATCCTAAAGATATATTTGTCGAGATATTCACTTAGTGCTATTTGGAGAAAAACAGCACTATAGGATTATATGCTATGCCATACAGCAAAAGAAGCTTTAAAATGACATGTTCAAAAATGTATTGATCCTGATGATAAAATTAGTTTCCTGTTTCCATGTTCAGATTATATTCTACAAGAGATTTACAGAATATTTTAAATACAAACTTGTTGAATATCATAAAAAAAATGAATAGATCTGATAAATTTGATGACTGAAAAAGTAAGATCCAACATATGCACTAAATTTGAATGTGCATAATCTTAAATCATTTAGATTACTCACCTTTGAAAATAGAGGCATTAGTTTACTTTTGTCTTGTCTCTGTACATTAATATTTAACTAAACAAAACAATTTGGCACTTTGGACTTATGATATGAAAGCATCTATACTAAATATAGTGAATGCTTGAAACAACACCACCCACGATTTTGGTTTTCATTACATAGAAATGATAATTACATTTATCAAGAAAAAATAAAAAAATGTGTAAATATATTTGGAGAAGGGTGCAGTATTAGTAAATAGTCACATTAGATTTGGTGTTTTGTCACTCAAGACACTAAAAAAAATATTAATAAAGAATGTATATAAAATTAAAATTACTAGTGACTCACGTCTGTAAATCAACAAGATGTGTATCATTGACATTCAGTATAATTAAAATGACTATATATATTTTAATAATTTTAAGGATGCTTAATTATAATCTCATATTTCCACCATTTTCTTAATAAATTTGGAATATAATTATTTATTAGTTATTTTAGAATAACTCATATTTAGAAAATTATTCTTAGAGAATATAACTGTTGAAATGGGCAATGAGCATAAATTGGCTGGATATATAAAAAAAAATTATATATATATATATATATATATATATAAAAATCTTGTCATTAAATGTTAAACTTGATTACATTTCAATATTCCTAAAACTTGAATAAAATTTAAATATACACATTCCATCTGTGTATTCAGTCCAAAAATGAAATGTAGGATTTATTAGTGAAATATAAAACAGGGTTGAATTTCATTAAAAATGATAAAGTTTCTCTGTGTAAAACTTACTGAAAACTGTTTATAAATACCATAATTATCACAATCGGATTTAAGATTAGTGACCAAGTTCATTGAACACTAACATTGAACTGAAATCAAATAAGACATTAAAATTCAATTCACACAGAAGATTTAAGAGTATTTTAAGATTTTTCAGAATCTGCTTTTTCTTCTGTTCTTATTGAAATCTCATGAGGAGTGCTGGACATTATATTTTGTAACTCTTCAAAATGCTCCTTTTGGACATTATCTAGTTTATCCAGGCGGCGTTTCAGCTGTGACAGTTCTTTTTGGTGACGCTCTTCCTGAACAAAAAAAAAAAAAAAAAAAAAAAAAAATATATAAAAGAAAAACTGGTACTGAATATATTTAATCATAATTTTTTTTCTTTAACTTTTAACCATTTTGTGAAATCCTTGACATGAAATATATAGAAAAGATTTCAGATTTTATTCAACCAACTGGAGTCCAGACCAATACTTAGGAAATCTGTTTTATTGATCCACAATATCAAATGCTATATGTCATTAAGTCCTGGCTTTTCAATATTACCATACAGAATCACTTTATTCTGGATTCCAATGCATAAAGTGCCCAATGTCATACAAGAGAATCAAGAAAAGTTTTCAAAGATTTAATGAGTGAATATTTATGCTTTCTTGTCATGACAGACTTCACAAAAGTCAAACTTATATATTTTTTTTTCATGTATTTCAGTTTTTGAATTTGATCATTGTAGTGAATCTTTGAAAAACTTTACTAGTAAGTGTATATATATATATATATATATATATATATAACTCATAAATATCAAGATGTATTTATGTATACATCAAAAGCAAAACAGCAATAAACAATTGAATCTCTCAATATCACATAATGGCTAAAGTAGACATCAACCGGTATGTACTGATGATGGAAATAATGATGGTGGTGATAATATTGTATTAACTTATGAATGTTAGAAAAAAAGATAGAGTAATTTAAAAATTTTTTTTCATACCTGCTCATCAAACAATTCACTGTTCAAAGTGGCATTAGGCACAGAAGCAAAAGAAGCATCTGTTATCACGAAAGGGTTACTGCAGAAGATAACACGACGGAATTCATTGTGACGTCTTATCATGTCGCGCATCTGATTTTTCAGTTTCTTGTGTTCTTCGGGAGGAATCCAGTTTCTGAAAACAGTTTAAAAACATGTTTAAAAAAAAAAAAAAAAAGAAAAAAAAAGCTAAAGATGGAGAAGCATAACAGATTTCCATTGCTGTTTTGATGATGTAACAAAAACTACAATTAACAAAATTTAAAACACAATTATTAACTGGTTATTTCACATAGTTAAGAAAAACTATAAATTAGCTTCATGAGTAATAACATTATACACTAGAAAAACATCAAACTTGAAATTCTGTTAAAGGTCTTTGTTACAGGGTCATCAGAAATCCACTGGTTGCCACTAAAGCATTTGAGTAATCAATATTAATGAAATTCCTAAGGTGAATGTATGCTTCCTTAAATCAAGGCTTGCTCTTAAACAATAGTGCGTTAATTAAACATTACTGAATTTGAAAAGCAATAGAAAAGTAGCTACTTACTCCAAGACCTTTCGGCTAGCTTCCAGCTCTTCATTTTTTGCAGACTTTAGTTCCAGTTGTTTCTTCAATGCTCGGATTGCCTTCAAGCTTCTTTGCTTGTACTGAAAAGTAATAAAAACAAAAACTTATTTCAAGAATAACTTATAAATGAAAAGAATTTAATGGCATGTTTAATGATCTAACAAATGTTTACAATTCATTATAATGTGCACTTAGAACAGGTTACATAAAGACTATACTTACTTTCTTTTTTATAGAATTACAATTAATATTAGAATACCAAAATGTGTTTTTTTTTAATTTCATGCAGAGATTTTTAAAGATTATATATTTTAGAGTAAAGAAATCATTTTAGCATCTAAGTAATACTAATAGTATATTTTGTTAAAGATTCTAATGAGCCCAACAAACATGGATGACAGAATCACCAGACACACACACACACATACAATACCAAAAATTCAAGCGCATTTACTTTTAAATGGATATTTGCTGCCATAGATATTTTTCTTTCTCCCTCGTTACATTTCTTTTTTAATTCCTGACTTTGAACTTCTAAGGCATCCACATTTTCCTTCCACATCATCTTCTGTCGGGACAACAGTTCATCACTACACTGGTCAGCTTTAGCAAGTTGTTCTTGTAGTCTTTTGGCTTCATTACGGTATTTTTCCATGGAATTCCTTAATCTTATGAATTTGTTACTCATCTCCCGTTCTCCACTCTGCAGTGTGTTCAGTTCCAGTTGCAAAGAATTAATCTGACCTCGTAATGAACTGTTTTCACTTTTCTCTTGTTCAAGTTCTTCTTTCACTGACCGTTCTTGTTCGAGTTTAGTCCTAAAATGAGAAAGTAATAAAAAGCAATAGTCTATCTTCATTAAAATCAGTAACAATAACAAAGCAATTATTCAAACTGAATAAACAGATTATTATGATCATCATAAAAATTCATCAGGCAAACAGATGTAAAAGCTCAAGAGGAAAATGGCCTGCTTTGTAGTTGAAATATTTAATTCCTCATTGATACCAGAAACCAATGTTTCAATTAAGGTACATAAGTATATAAGACCTGTAGACACCCCAGTGGAATATAGAGCCACAGCCACACCATGCAGGGCATTACTGCTGTGATTTCTGTATCAAGTAGGTTTTCATGGGGTAGAACTGCTAGTCCAACACCCAACCAGTTTTGAATTCAGAGTGGTTCTCTTGTAAAACTGGTTGCCAACTAAAGCTAGCAAGCACAGTCTGCCATGCTAATTGGAGGGGGAAGAGATGGATGCATACCTTTTCAAGGATATTTGTGTGAAAATGAATGGAACAGCCTCAGTAGTAATTTAAATGTCAATCCCACTTTCCATGCCAATACTCTAACAGCACTCCTCTTACAGTCCTCACCTGTGGAACTATCTCCTGATTTCTTGCTTCCCTGATAACTACAATTTTTGAAAGTTTAAATGCAATGTCAATTGTCATTTTCTGTCTTATTGAACCCTGTTCCTTTTCTGTTCCTTCCTCAATCCTCCCTATTCTCAGTTTTCTCATTTTCTCCCTATAACCCCCTGCGTTCAAATTTACCAAATATTTTGATTGAAGTCAACAAGTTTAACCATACTTATACCCCATGGAGATAAACATGCCTAGACCCAACACATTCGACAAACTGATGGAAAACTTTCAGAACTATAAAGAAAGGCTGGTTGCAAATGACATTTCAGAACACAAACATACATCAGTTCTTCTATTGGTCCAAGATGTATGCAACTCTATGAGCTTTATCAGCCTCAGACTTGCCTTCAAACAAAACATGCAATGAGTTGTGCATGTTACTCCTTCAACACTTTAATCCAAAGCCATTTGAAATCCTGGAACGACAGAGTTCACATTAGGAGACAGGAAAATTTTGAAACTGTATGACAGCTATAAAACAATTATGTGATTATCTTAACTTTGGTAATTATTTAAAGGACACCTTACAGGACAGACTAGTGTGCAGTCTGAGGTATGAAACAACCCAAAACGACTTCTTCAAAAACCCTCTATCATTTAATAAGGTTTGCTCCATCACTACCTCCATGGAAACAGCCCAGAAGGATGCTACCGAAATTCACGTGGACAATAATGATGATATACATGTCCTCAGGCAGTCAGAGACTGATGTAACAAGTCAAGAACAACAAAAGAGAAAAGTCCTTAATTTACCATCTTGCAATTCTTGTGGAAAGACAAACTACAAACATTAAAACTGCTACTTTAAGAGGTGGTTTGCTGAATATGCCACAAAAGTGATCACATCTAGCCAATGTATAGATCTAAGTCAACAATAAAATTTTTTAAAAAAGACAGCAACAGAAATCTCCACAAGCTACAAATGAGGGAGGCAGTGAATTAAAACTCTTTCATATGGATGGTTCAGGCAAAATATTTGTCACTGTAACTTGTGTCACTGAAATTTTGTATTCTAAGTGTGAAGATGAGACTTGATACAAGGGCAGCAATTTTAGTGATGACACTAAAGGATTATAAATGGATATGTTCCACAAGCCCCGTCCTCCAAAGAACCACAATTCAACTGAAGATATATACCAACGAACTTATCAAACCTTTAGGTCACTTGTCTACATTAGTTGAACACAACAACAAAAGCATCCAATTTCTGCTCGCCATCTTAAAAATTGGCAATTATCTCGTCTTGGGGAGAGACTGAATGTATAAGCTTGAAATATACAAGTTCTCCACAATGTCAGCAGTGCAGAAGAAAATGACCTGACTGCAAAACAGAGTGGAATTTCCACAAGTCTTCAGGGAAGGTATAGGTACAATCAAGGACATGAAAGGACAGTTGAGAGTCAAATCCAACACAGTATTCAGATACATGAAAGCAAAAACTGTCCCATATGCCTTAAGGACAAAGGTGGAGGAAGAACTGGACAAACTAACCAAGGAAGATGTCCTGTCACCAGTCAAATCAAATGAACAGGCCACACCTATAGTGCTCATAAGGAAGCACAAGGGTAGTATCCACATTTATGGTGACTATAAAACAACAGTCAATCCAAATTTAGAAGTTGAACAATATATCCTCTTGAGAATAGAGGACATGCTACCAAAACTCAAGACCAAGGAAAATTCACCAAAATAGATCTAAGGCAAGCATACCTACAATTAATGCTTGTTGAAGAATCAAAACAACTGACAACCATAAATATGCATGAAGGATTATATCAATATAATCATCTAGGTTATGGCATCACATCAGCACCTTCGATATGGCAAAAGACCATGTTCCAAATTCTACAAGGTCTAGAAAGGGTAATTTGTAACAAGGATGATATATTAATCACTGGCAAATCTGACAAGATACATTTTAAAAACATCAAAAAGATTTTTTCCCATCTTCATGAATTTGGTCTTAAGGCAAATTTGAACAAGTGTTCCTTCTTTCAGGACTCTGATCTTCTGTGGAATAAAAATATCCAAAAATGGGCTCCACAAAACTAAAGACAAAACTGAAGCTGTGACTAATGTTCCAGCACCAAGTGACAAAACACAGCTACGCTCATTTCTAGGGCTTGTAAATTTTTACCACATGGTTTCAAAATACTGCCCATGTCACAAAACCACAATGATCTTCTACAAAAGGACATGTCCTTCATATGGTCTGGAGAATGTGATAAGGCATTCAACAAAATCAAAGGAATGATTACATCAAACATGGTCCTGGTACAGTTTGATTGCAACCTTCCTACATATCTGACATGCGATGCAAGTTCATATGGCATCAGTTCTGTTTTGTCATATATCATCAATGGAGTAGAGAGATCCATAGCGTACATATCCTGCACCCTCAACAAAACTGAATCTAGTTATTCCCAACTTGACAAGGAAGCACTTGGATAGGCAGTGAAAAAGCTTTTCAACTATTTATGCATCAACTCCTTTACCAATCCTAAATTAAAATACCAAACAGCTCTTTCAAAAAAATTTGGGGAATTGAAGGAAAACGGTTTGAACACTCAGATAGAGTGGAAAATTGTAGGTTTCACTCATACTCCTAATAGTTTTAGAGATAGGTGCAGTCTAAGTTTAGAGGAAAAAAATTAGAATAATAAAATACAATAATCAATGCAAGCTATTAATCAAACGAATGAACTAGTGTTAAAATGTAGACATAAAAGCAGGTTCAAACTTATATTGCTTATCTTTTTACTAACTTCCCCCCCACAAAAAAAACCCCTAATGTTAAATATATAACAATAATTAACTTCTATAATTTCCCTCTATTCTCCATATTAATTCTATCTTATAACAGTCCCCTAATTGGTGCAACCCCCTTTAATTAACTTTTTACTTTAATATTTTTATCTTAAAGAATTTTGGGTACAGCTTTGTCTTCCTAATAATTTAACTGATCCTTAAATGGATAATTTATTCTAACTTTAAATTGTTTCATCTTTAAATCCCCCATTACTTAATAATATAAAACCCTTAATTCTATGCTTTTTTTTAATATATTAGTTGTCTAAATACAATTTATTCTTGATCCTATTAAAACATTTGTTGTTGGTATAATTTGGTATTCCCTAGTGGGAACTTAAATTCCTTTATATATAATTAAAGGCTTTGGTCTTAAATAAACTCCCATTCCGACTGCTCTTTTAGTTTAAAGAACATTTCCCCAGCAATTTAATCAATAGGGGTAGACTGATTTTTGTTACACTGCTTATGTCTAGGGATATCTCATCTAGTCCAATAGTCTGCATGTAAATAATGATAACTTCTTATCCCAGAAATTTAGACAGAAATTATAGTCAAACTTAGTAAATATCTACAAGATTTCATAATGGTATGCAAGTAAATACAAAATTAAAAAAAAAAATTTATATACAGCCAGTCCCTGCATCACAACAGTCCTGACTTAAAATGATTCATGGTTACAACACAATCTCCATTAATCTTGTTTCAACATATGTGTATACATATTGAGTTTCCCTGTAAGTGATAAGGACATTTTCTTGTTAAACTATAAGTTGGTGAATTCCCAATAAAAAAAGAAAAACAACACAAGATTGTTTTTCTTTCTTTCACAGATTTGCTGCTGCTTCCAAGTACTGCAAGAGAGACAAGATCTTATGCTTCATCTCATTCTACAGAGACCTACATCACTGGCTAATTTCATTATATGTATTATATTTTAGTTCTAATTATATTAGCATATGTCACAGAAATTTCTTATGTCCTAGTTTATTACATTACTATTGTATTAGTATAGGTGAGTGTCATAAGTACTTATTCAAGGAAAATTGTGGGTATGTTCCAACTTACACAGAAAATCATGTTGTGAGATTGTAGGAACAGAAATCTGTTGTAAGTCAACAATCCCCTGTATAGATTTTCTCTTGTATATTACACATGCATTCAATACAAGTTAGTAAATAACACAAATGTTATAATGACTATTCACCTCTCCTTGAAAACAATGATAATTGAAATTACTCAGAATATAACAGAAATAATGCATTGTCCTTTACATCTGACATCAAATGATTTACTCCAGGCATGTCAAACTCAGGACATATGGAGGGCCACATCAGCCATATCTGCAGCCACAAGGGACACGCCTGCTTACATTCTTACATTAATCACAGCTAGTGGTAACTAAACTTAAAATACAAAATACTTACAATACAAGTTAGTACAATTTAATCATTTTTATGTTGTCCTGATGATTGACATTTAGACAAACTATTCTCGATATATCAAGTTGGAATGTCTGTGTAGATCTCACTCTGATCAAAGATGACAAATGTTCATCAGTTTATCTGGTTCTGCGAGACATTTTTGTGGCCTTCATAAACGAAAATAACTGCTCAGACATTCCACAGAAATGTGGAACCAAACATCGCCATAATCTTTGTGGAAAACTTTCTGAAGTTCTTAAATGTCTGAAGAAGGTACGAAAAAAATCCAGGTACCCCTTCGTCTAGATACTTTCCTTTGAGTGTTGAGTCAGTCTGCATTTCCATAGCTGAGCAACTTCAAAAGTGAATGATGCTGAGAATAATGCAAACTGATCTTCACAAGATGAAAAATCACAAAATCTTTGTTGAAATTCCTTTGACAGCAATTCCAGGTAACTGTTGTACTAAATACAGACTCAGTATTAGCAGTTTTTTTCAACTCCTTGCACATAGGAAAATGAATCAAGTTTTCATATGACAACTGGGACTTCAATAAAGCTAATTTTTCAATGAAACATTTGATATCATCATATAACTGAGTGATGAGCTTATTTTTCCCCTTGTAATTTCAAATTAAGGTCACTTAATTGGGTAATAATATCCACTGAAAAAGCTAGATCTTGGAGCCAGCTTTCATCTTTCAATTCATCTGTGCTTCGACCCTTCATCTCCAAAAACATAAAAATTTAATGTTGCAATAAAAAAAATGAAAGCCACTGAACTTCTGTGTAGAATGGGACATTTGTGAACTGATTGTTCATGTCTTCTAATAACTGGCTAAACTGATGGTGATGCAGAGCACAACCTCTGATAGAGTTCACTGTTTTTATGACAAAACTCAAACACATGATCTAAGTTTAATCTTAGTACATAAGTTCTGTTGATGAATTATACAGTGAAAATGTTTGAATGTTGAATCTGGATATGTTTTCTATTTTTGTACCTAATTTGGCAGCAACACCATTATGTCTCCCAACCATATTGGCAGTACCATCAGTAGATAAACATACAAATTTTCTCAAACCAAGGCCATAGTCATAGAGAAGCTGCTCAACTTTCTCTAAAATGTCCTGGTTTGTTGTAGTATCATGCATTGGGACCAGTTCTATTAGATTTTCATAATTTGAAATTCATTGTCACAAGCCCTGTGCTATTCCAGCTATGTCAACAGTCTCATCCAGAGCAATAGAAAAAATGTTCAAAACTTGATAAAGTCTTCAATTGTCAACTCAAATTACCTGCAATTTCATCAATCCATTCTGCAACAGTGTTCCTGCTTAATATAATATCTTGAAATAAATGTGACTTCTCTGGACATACAATTTCAGCTGTTTTTACAAGACCTCGCTTTATGAAATCTCCTTCACTGTAAGATTTTCCACTGATGGCGATCATTTTGCAGAGTTCAAAGCTTGCAGTGACAGAACCAACGCTGCCTTTCTGAATTTTTGTAAAGCAACTGTGTTGAATTCCTTCCCTTTTACACATATCTCCTTCACATTTATCATAAGATTGATGGTTTGTTTCATAATGTCTTTTCATATTACATTCTTTTAGCATTGCAATGCAGTGGTTGCAAATCAAACAGTTCATCTTTCCATTAACAGTGGTATCAAAAGTACTGTAATTCCAAATTTTCTTGAAACACACATCCTTCTTCAGATAATTTTCTCTTTTTATTAGATGGAGTAAAATTTGACATTTTTAAGGCAAAATATTACAAAATTATGAACATTTTCACTTTACATTTGTTCTTATTTAGTTATCAAGGATGATCACATGATCTGCAAGTTAAAAATAGTTGCTGACATCAAAAACAAAAAACCATTGAGATAAAATAAACAATCTAATCATACCAATTGAAAAAAAAATCTCACTGTTTTTAATAATTTGCATTACCAACACAGACAAAATTCTCGATATACCACAAATATAGAAAACTTTGTGAGGGCCACCAAGATGCATGTAAAGGGCTGCATGTGGCCTGTGGGCCGCCAGTTTGACACAACACCAGGAGAAACTCATTAAAAGGATTAACAGATATTCTTCAGTTTTATTTAATAGAACATGTTTAAAACAAAGTACTGCTACCTAAATATACTATTTAACAAAAAAAAAAAAAAAAAAAAAAAAGGATAAAACAACTAAATACAATCTATGTGTATGTCAACTTTAAAATAATTTACCTAAGAACAAGTAACTCTTTTTCTAGTTGGGCTGTCGTGTCCAAAGCTTCTTTTAGTTTATCATCAAGATATTCTTTTTCTATTTGCCAAGTTGTTTCTTCTTCAGACTTCTTCCGGTATATTTCTTGCAATTTTGCTTCTAATTCTAATCTGGGGAAAAAAAGTCAATAAGTTTGAGAAATTTACAAGTAATAAAGTTGGTTGGAAAAAAAACCAAAAAACCCCCAAAAAACAAACAAATAAAGCAGAATTTATTCATGAATCATTCATACTTTATACTGTCTGAATTTAACAATTCTGCAGATCTCCCTCTCACATTCCTATATATATATATATATATAAAAAACTTAGAAAATTTATGAAATAAATTCTCAATATGAATTGAAAAATTCCAGTGGAAATGATATTAGAATGAATTAAGCTTTCAACATATTAATATGGGTTATATCAACACTTATTTGCACTAAGTTTTATATAAGTCAGCAAGCAGTAATTTATAGTAAACAAGTAGAAAAGATAGCTGGAAATAATAATACATTTAAACACTAATCTTGTCGGAAAATGCAAAATTAAAAAAAAAAAAATGTCTGCAGATTATGGCTGTATATGTGAGGAAGTTAAATAAGCCTGGCCATCATAAAAAAGGTTGGATATATAAAAATATTATTTTTACTACTTTAAAAATATTAGCTTTGAATAAATGTTTAATTGTCTAGGTTGTTTTTTTAGTACATGTTCTTTTGAGAGAGGTGTATTTTTATGAAGGCCAGTGGAAAAAATTGTTACACTTGTATATCTTTTTCGGCTCGAAAGTTAAAATCCACCAAAATTGCAAAGGATCCATTTCAAGTTTATGGAAAATTATTTTTTCATATATACTGATCAATGAGAGACATGCTCCCAAGCCCTAGTAAGAAACCAGATGGGGGACTTCTGAGAACATTTTTCTGAATAAATGGAACTCAGGTCAGTAGAAGAAGGGAGAAGACTTTCTGACATCAAGGGGACATGGCAAATCAACAGCAAGCTGCAGAAGGCATTCGACATATAAAAAAAAGAAATTCTCCTGTAATTGAACAACAAAGAATGGAAAGAATTCAAAATTTTCTCATGCATGAAGTGTGTGAATTTAAAAGGTACTTTTCTAAAAATACTATATGTCCCAGAGATACTCATAGGGCAAGTAGGTGCTTTTGTTTTTTTCTGAAAGGTGATTGCACCTTTGTTTTTCTGCCTTCTTGAATTGCTTTCCCTTTCATCATTTTCAAAATCCTTGTCTTTTTCTAAACCGAAATCATAATTTTTTCCATTTTTCTTCCATTTTTCAATGGTCATCACTTTTTCAAAAAATGTCAGAAATTTGTTATCCTGCTTTAAAAGAAAAGTTTTGTGCAAATTTTGTATTCATATTTTTTTTTCTTGTCTAATAAATGTTTTTCTGCTAAAATTTTATGCAGTGGTTGAGTTTTACTTGTTATTTGCACCTATTTTAACCTCAAGGAGAAGAGAAGTATGTGTTCTCTTTTCCCTTCATATTCCTACTGACTAGGTTTTTGTGTTTGGCACAAGAATTTAGATTTGGTAGGAAGTTAAAATTTTTATATTTTGCACAAAAATAACAAATGTGAACTTTGTTTAATTTTAAAATTTTTACAATATATTCACTTTCTTCTTTACTTTAGCTAATACAAGACTTTAAGAAATAGGTGGATTATGGCTGCAATCAATGACCTGAAATAATTTTAACCTCATAAAATCATGAGGTATCTTCTGCATCATTAAAGCTTTTACATGTTTTCATTTTTTATACTTTAAAGCTAAAGTTCATATGCTCTTTTTATTTAAAGTTAATCCAGTCAATGAAGAACTGAATTTGAACACAAAGAAATACATGGACATTTTAAATGATTTAAAAAAAAAAAAAAAAAAAAAAAAAAATAAAATGTTTCATGAGAAAAAGATTTGCTTTCTTTACTTTTGAGCTTCGACCTGGTTTTGTTTTAGCATCTCTTTTTCTCTTATGATCTGGATTTGTCGTGACACTTCTCGCTTTTTCTCCAATAAACTCTCAGCCTGCTGCTTACTCTTCTCTTCAGCAACTTCCAATAGAGCCTTCAAATCTGAAAAATACAAACAATTGCTCAGGGAAACCAGATTTTTAAATATTTGAAAGCAGTTTATAGGAGAAATTTCTATCTAGATAGTATTTCTAACACCAGTCAACAATTTTTTTTATGAACACCAATATTGACAGATATCTTAAAAAGCCCAGTTTCATAACTTTTTGTTTAAGTTTAGTACATATGAATTCATAAATAAAGATAGACTTTTTGTAGTGTATTCTGTCCAATATTTTAAGTGGTTACATTCTACTGAATATGAAAACATTTGGAGCTTTGTAATTCGTGTATACTGGAGAATAAACAAGAAATAGGAAACATTTCATTACCTCCAAATACTGTTAGCCTTATCTTAAAATGGGCCGTAATCACATTTCAATCTTTTTTTTTTTATTTTTATACAAACAAAAAAAACACACCAAACATTTAAAAATTTACAATTTTTTCTTTTTTTTAATTTTACCACAAATGATATTACTTAATACAAAATGTTTGATAAATTAAAAATGTGAACACTATCTAATTTTTTTAACATATGTCTTGACTAAGGTTTAAGATCCATTTTTTACAACATAACTAGAAAAACTAAACATGATTGGGGTGCTAAGACAAAAAAAAAGAAAATTAAAAAACAGAACAGGGAAAGCAAAAAAAATTCTTGTACCTTTTACATAATTTGTCAGTCTATTACATTCTCGTTCAATCTCGCCATGATTCTTTGTCAAATTCATTTTCAGTTCCTTTATTTCAAGTTTGTGCTGCTGAATCAGTTGATCCACTTGCTTTTTCAAAACAATGTTTTTTTGATCAATTTCATGTTTCTCATTTGACAATGTTGTTTGTACGTGTTCAATCTCAGTGATTTCTTCCTGAAGTTTCTTGTTTTCTCTTAACAGGCTTTCATTTGAATGCTGAGACAGACAAGCAGAACATTATTTTTTAATCATTTGTAACAAAAAAACAAAACCATATTTACCAGGATGCCCTCTTCCCTGTCCCCACCACCAAATAATAAACCTTCTGTTTTATATGCAAAAAACAATACTTATCCAATGACTACGGTAGACTGAAACTGTTTTATGGATATTTGCTGCTCCACACCAAATAAAGTAAATGAAATAACAAGTAATCCTGGACATTTAAAGTTGGCAGTGGGATTTTTAGTACTTCAAATAGAAGTTCAAAATGTAATTTTGGAAAAGTTTGAAAACAGTAATTTAAAAGAAATTCAGCCATCAATCAAAGGAAGTTAATAAAAGACATTAAAAATCTTTAGAACATCTAAAAATACGCAGGAAAACATATCAGAAATAAACAGTAAACTTTGTGAAAAATAAAATTTCAATTTTGAAGTTTAGTGGGTTTTTTTTGCTTGAGGCTATGGGTATAATTTTTTTTCTGTAATCTTCATTCTTATAGGTACCTCCACTTGCTTGCTAAAAAACAGCATAGGATGCTGAAAAAAAATCCCCAAACTTAAAAACAAAGTTTTATCATCAAAATGTTATTATTAAGAGGACTAAAGTGTCTTTTTATTATTCTATTACATTTTTTTAATCCTTTCTAGAACGTTCGAAATTTTGGTTAAAAATCTAGTTTTTTTTTCGGCAGCGGTCGACATAATATTTACAATTAGTGTTTTAGTGTCGTATTTTCAGGTGAAAAAACACACTGATTTTGAAATTCTTGCAAAAAATCAAATAATTATCAGATTTTGATGAAACTTTCAGGACAAACTCACAATGAATTAAATTATTTTCAAATTTTTTTTATATATATGTTACCCCCACCCCACTAACTTAACTTCATGGAATTTTGAGAAATTAAATTGCAATCTCAAAATTTGTTTTAATAGTTAAACGTAGGACTCCTCAGAGAATTTAAATCAGTTTTTTTTGGGGGTTTTTTTTTTTGTTTTTTAAAACAAAACACCCAGTTACTGAAAATCTGCTCTGAATTGTAAAATAAAAAAAAATGTAATAAAACTGACATTATTTAATTAGAAAAGCTTTTATAAATAAAATTTATTAAGGACTATTGTCTTAAGAAAAAGATTTTTTCTATGAATAATGAATTTTTACAAGAATTGTTTTCATTTTTTTAAAATTTTAATTATAATAATTTATAATATTATAAATCATTTAAAATTATGCATTACTTCAATCTAGTTAGATGATATTGTTATTAAGTGAAAACTATATTTATGAACCAAAAATTGAAAAGCTCAATAAAACTTATTTACACCCAATTTTTTTTTTTTGTATATAAAATATTACGTAACTTGCCTCTGTTTGAAAGTATGGTCAACCATACATGACATAATCAGAAAATAAGATCAATGACTACAGTCAATTTAAATTCAACATTCCTAAAATAAGATTAGAGAATATTTTCCAACATTTTTATGATTACCAAATACTTAAAAATTATATAAAAAAGGCTCTCACCAGTCATTTTTTTAAATTATTTTTTAACAGATAAAGTCTCAGTAGAACAACAGTAAAGGTGTTGACAGATTTTATCATCTCTTGATAGGTGATCTATGAGTGCCAAACAACAGTGATAAACGTGTAATCACTGCTACTGTTTGTTTTAAAAATCCATTTCTCTGTTACTTTAAAATTAAAGTAAATAATCAAATCAGATTAATTATACTTTAAATCAGCTGATATTCCTCAAATAAAGTTTCAGAAAAGTATATTTTTGGAAGATTTTTAAAACCAAGTTTTGTTTACAAAAAGTGCCCAAATGTGTCAAAAATGGCTATTTTTGTGAAAACAACCAAAAAGTTGAGATTCCAATCAACATCAGAGTATTTTGCTTACTGGAAATAGTAAATTTAATCATTTAACTTTCAATTAAAGCTAAAAGAATGCTTTTATATTTTTTAAAATTTCTTTTAAACCTTAAATACCAAAAATTTAATGGAGGTACCTCTTTAACAGTAAACAGTTTGCTTGAATTACAAGGTTCAAATGTTAACAAAAGTGAAACCAGTTGTTTATTTTCCTTCTGTTCTAAGAAAAACAAAAATAAAATATGACAAACTTTGGGAATAATTAAAACAAAATTACCTGTAGGTTTTTGATATTTGTTGCAAATTCAGTTTCATTTTTGGTAAGAAGACGTTTAACCTGATCAACCTCAAGATTTGCTTTTTCCCGTTGTGTCCTCATCTCTTCAAGTTCTGTAAGGGCAGTTTTAATTTGCTCTTGCAGATTCACATTCTCTCTCTTAAGTAACAAGATTTGTTCTGAGTCCTTTAAAGATTCACTCTGTGTTTGAGACAAGAGACGCTCTTTCTCAGCTCTTACATTGTTTACCTGATAAAATAATGAAGTACTTTGAAAATTCAATTAGAAATATGCAATATATGATTCAGTATTTGGATTAAGTCTTAAAAGCATAAAGTATTATATTTGTTTACTGAATCAAGTAGCTGAAAGACAATGTTAACTGCAATAATGGTAAAGAATTTGACTTCTAACAGTAAAATAAAACAGGGCTCTTTAGCTATGGATAACTTCTGCACTATAAATATTTACTAAGGATAGTTTAGTTCTGGCATAAGGTCACAAGTATGAAACTCACTGCTAATGATCTTCTAGCCTAGCTCAATAACCATTACACTACTGTTTTATAATTGTAATGCAACTAATGTCAGTGATGAAAACATATCATAATCTGGAAAAATGTTGCAGAGAAATAACTGACAATCTATTGAGGATTAAAATGATGTTTACTGCATAAGATCCTGTGTGAAAATACAAATATAAATGAAAGAGAGGCAGGAATATTGGCTTAGAAAAATGCAATGACAAACATACATTTTTGTTCCCTTTGTTCAATAAATTTATATCAAAGTGCACTTCTGAAATTAGTATGACACAAAGTTACAAGTGTGGAATATCCAATGAGGATTAAAATCACTTTAGCAGTAATGGTCTGTGAGACTACCTAGCTATCCATTGATTCATAACAAGATACCTATCAAATATGTTTATTCAATTTACCATTCTGTTAGATGTTCATAAAAATTGCAATTATCTTTAAATATATTCATAATGAGAATATACATTTGTATAGACTTGTGTTTTGATTTACACTGTAAAATGTAACCTAAAGATTTTTTTAGAACAAGCATTCATGTTTGCCTATATTTGAAATGAGGTATTGTAATTATTTACACTATTGTTCAGACTGTTGTCTGGACACATCTTTATTGCCATATTCAAGTTTCAGCCATTGTACACTCCAGCCTTCTATCTCCGTGTGCCATGCCTCTTCCAGATGTCTCAGTTTAACTCAACTGAAGTTTTTTTGCTCACCACTACAGTAGCCAGGTACTGAACTTACAATTTTGAGTCAAGTCACTGGATCCAACCAATGTTTTTATTCACTGAGCCATGTGTCCTTGTATGAATTTTTGGAGCTTATAAACTTAATGTCTCAGTAATCATTTTTTAACAGAGCTCATATTGTAATTTAGTTGTTATTATTCCTAGAACTATGTATTACTGGTTCCTATATTGTATTCATTTCAACGCTTGGCCAGCTTAGAAGATTTTTGTAGCCTAGCATATGTGCTGATTCCTTAAGTTTTTGTATTTTCCAGTGATGTTCTCTATTACTTCAACTTCATTCCACAGAGGGTGGTGATCTCCCTTTTCCTCGATATGTGGTCAGCTATGTCTGATTTTTCTATTTCCTCTTGTGTTATGGCTTTACAATGTTCTTGCAGTCTGACCTTAAGGTGGCCTGTTTCTCCTTTATATTTCTTACAACTGCTGCACAGATTGGCGTACACACTGTCCTTAGTCATGTTCTCCTCAAGGGGGGGGGTATTACTCGAAAGAGGTGTCTGCAAAGTGTTGAACCACTTTTGAAGGTTGTTCTGATGTTATATGGACCACAGATCTTTTGTATTTTTCCTATAATCCCTTCACATAGGGTAGGCAGACCAAAGCTGTTTTCTGAGTATTGTTATCCTCTTGTGCCCTTCTATCCCAGTTTGTCGGAGATGCTGGCATGTACTAAAGGTAGTTGTTACATTGTAGGGTACTGTTTATACCGACCATTTCTTATTCATATGTCTCTGGGTCACCACTTATGACTTTTGCTCAACATTGTAAGCGGTGAACAATCCCTTTCTTTACACTGTATGATTGGTGTGAGTTGAAGTTGAGATACTGTTTGGTGAATGTTGGTTTGCGGTATACGGATGTTTTGAATCCATGCACTGTTCAAGATATTATTACATCCAGGAATAGGAGTTTGTTGTTGTTTTCTCTCTCTATTGTGAACTGTATCGATGATCTTATTGAGTTCACATGGTCCAGTAGTAGCTGGACCTCTTCCTGGTGTGACCAGAGTATGAAGGTATCATCTACATATCTCAGCCATAAGGTTGACCTTAGTGATGTGAATTCTAATGCCATTTCTTCCAAATATTCCATGTATATGTTAGCCATTACTAGTGATAATGGCGAGCCCATTGCTAAGCCTTCATCCTGTTGATATATGTCTGATCCCATTCCAAAATGTGTTGTTTGTGTACAGAATGTCAGTATCTCCATCAGGTTATTTATCTGTATACTTGTTGTTCTCCTAGAGATGAGTTCAAGGCTAATCTGTCCCTGACAGACTGGCCTCCTCCGTGGGTATCTTGGTGAACAAATTCACCATGTCCAGGCTCAAATCTAGTTGGATTGGATGGGAGCATCTTTGATTATTCCCATGAAGTGGGCAGAGTTTTGGATATATGATGCTGACTTTCCTATTAATGGTTTAATTATATCTACAAGGAAGCAACTCAGAGGGTGTCACACAGAGCCCTGGCATCTAACAATTGGCCTGAGCAGTATACCATCTTTGTGAATTTTGGGGAAACTTTATATGTGAGGTAGCTTGGTATGATGTGCGACAACTGCCAGTACGTCTTTGGGAAGTGACATTTGTTCTTGATTAGTATCCGAGACATTTTTTGTTCCGTTTTCATTGTTGGATCTTTACCGAAGCTACCATTCCTAATGAGGTCTTCCAGTTTTTCTGTATATTCCATTTCGTCCATCCTTACAGTTGCATTGCTTTTGTCAGCTGGTAGTATGATGGTTTTCATTCCTCTGTAGGGTTCTGATTGCCAGCCTCTCCAGCTTTATGATGATTGATTTGGGCAGCTTGACTTTCTCCAGTATATGTTTCACTTTCTATCTTAGCTCAGCCACCTGAGCCTGAAGGATGTTCAAGATATTTCCTCAATTCGGACAGTGATGTCCAAGTATGGTATCTACCTGATGGTTGTGGCAAAGTTGATACCCTTGTTTAGTACTGACTCTTCAAAGGCATTCAGTTGGTATTGACTGATGTTGATTACTGCCTTCTCTACGGGGTGATGAACCATTCGTCTCACCTTCTGATCTTTCAATCTATTTAATTTTTGTACTTGGTAGGCCTTGACCACATTGAATTCAAGTCTGAAGAATTTATCCAGGTCATGCTGGATCCTCTTTCACTCTTCTTTGTCAATAATTTTGTTGAAGGCCTCGAGCCTCTGGGAAATATCAGATTGCAGTTCTGGTTTTATTCAACTGTTGTACTGGATTCTTACTCAGAAAAGGGCGTATCTCACTTTTTCTACAACCAGACAGGCTCTCCTTGAATTGACAAAGAGTCTTGGTGCCAAGCCTGAAGGGATAAGTCATAAGTCTGCACCAGTGTAAGAATGTTAGATGATTGTGCCAGCTTCTGGTGGGACCTTCCTAATTGTTTCCATATTTTTGGTATGTCGCATCCGTACTGATCCTTCAATCTATATTTGTGAGATGAGGTATTGTAATTATTTTCACTATTTACATTGTTCAGACTATTGTTACCATCTTTGTTGCCATATTTACAGTTTCAGCCATTGTATGCTCTAGCCTTTTTCAGATGATTGGAATTTCAAATTTCATGCTGCATACACATCAACAGTCAATAAACAATTTACAGATTGAAGAGGATTCTGGTTTATCTTAATTTGCAAAGATGAAACTACAATATACTGAAAAGATCTCAGCCCAAGAAGGGAATGACCTAGAATCCCTGATAATCCAAATATTCATCCTATAGTTCAGCACATTTAGTATATCATTTCTCTAGCTTATTTCACCCTTCAAAAAAATTCTTATTTTTATCATTGAAATACTTCACTACTGCTGCAGCTATTACCTCCAAATTGTCTGAAAATTTTCACCATTTCAGGTTTTAAGGCTGAAATTTTACAATATAAAAGAGCAAGAAAGTCAAATAGAATAAGATCTTTCAAGTAGGGTGGATGGTCTTTGCACTAAAACATCAAATTCTTCAAAACATCCCTCATCAGCAGATGCATTTTACAGCAAAAAGAGAACACTTTTCTACAATTTCTCTTTCAATACCCACTTGAAGCAAGCAATACAGTCAATAGTATTCTGTATTAACTGCTTGGCCCAGTCATCAAAACACCCTCAAGTAAAAAAAAAAAAGAAGCCCTTTCATACTTACTTTTCGATCTTGAATCTATTTAGCTGTGGAGAACCCAAGTGTCACCACTGCATAGACTATTGTTTGATTTCTAATCATAATACTAGAACCATGTTTCATTAACATTGACAAGTCATTGCAAAAAAATATCACTAGATGATTAAAAATGTTGCAAATATCAATTTGGAGGTGTTCACTTGATATTGTTTCTGGTCAGCATTCAAACATTTTGGTACCCACAGGCTAAAGGCTTCTGAATTCCCAACTGCTCATGAATTATAAACCCAACAATTCTATAGATACTTCTTGAGCATCAGGAATTCTTTTGACTAACATTTGTTGATCAACTAAAAATTAATTCATAAACATGAATAACAATTTTAGTTAACACCACTGAAGGCTTGACCTTGGGTCTCAAAATCTCCATGCTGAAAGTTAACACATTACTTCACATTTGAGTATGATGGACATTTCTAAATTAATGTTTAGATTTCTCCTTCAGAAACAGAAGCATCATGATAGCCCAGGATTCAAAACTTTCATTCCAGAAAGTTTCAGTTCATTGACAGAAATCTAATTAAAAGAATATCTACAAAGATTGTCACTCTCCAAGTACAGTTACAAAATTTTGGCAAGTGGATTAGCCTGAGAATTTTTTAGCACCTCTTCATAGTTTTCTACCATACTATGACAGGTGCCCAAACAAAAATTTTAAGTATTATATTAATAGATCAGATGGTTACTGCCTTGGTGGCATGTTAAGAATCTTTCAAGTTATGAATGCTTACTAAAAAGGGACAGTCACTTTCTATTTACTTTGTGTATGCATAAAAAAATACATATAAGTTTAAGCTAGTCAAACAATTACAAATATTGACAATCATCAATTGCTATCAAGATAAATCTGATACAAAATTTATATAGTATCTTCTCCGAGCTAAACAGGCATATTTCTTAAATCAGATAACACTAATCAAAGTCAAATTTGAAATCTCAAATTAACCTCAAAGAGCCTACTCCACCAAATGAATTTCCCTCAGGCATACAAACAGATATACATAATAGATGTATAAATAAAAATTTTGTGAACTTAAACTTTGAAATAAAATTGGTCTAAAATGTCAAATTGTATTTGAAAGATTTCTGTTTGACCAACTAGTACTTACCTCTGTCTCTAATTTTTTTTTCACTTCTTGCATTGACATTTTATGATACACTGCTTCTTGCTCACATTTTGTTTCCATCAAGGTCAGCTCATACCGTTGTCGGTTGCAACAATTCTTAAATACTTCAAGTTCTTGCTCCAGCTTTTGTAATCGGTCCTTGTAGATATTTTCCACTTCAGAGTAACTCTCAAGGCGCATCAGTTCGACCTGCTGTGGAGTAACCACTTTTGATCTAAAGTTGCTCAGTTCTTCATCCTTGGCCAACAAATTCTTCTTAAACTGTTCTTGATCACTTTTAAGCTGCTTGAATAACAGTTTATTTTCCTCTACTTTTTCACAATATTCATTTCTGATTTTCACATTTTCTTCTTGCAACCTGAAAAAAAAAAAAAAAAAAAAAAAAAAAGTAAACTTTATATAAACATCTCTTTGCATCATTAGTTTTCTTCACATATTTAGTTACATCCTTAATCAATTTTTTCCATGGCAAGAACGATTTAAATGTTGAAATAGTTTAACTAGAATTACATTTAATCAATTAAGTTTGTCACAGTTCCAAAGCTAAAATATATTCATGGACAGTTCTTTACATTGTGTCATTTGCAAATTTATAACACAAATCTGAATGCATATTGAACCTATAGCAAGAACATATTTTTTTTTTAATCCAGAATCCAGTGATATACTATTACATAAACAAATAATTATGAGAACTATTAAAACAGACTTTTAAATTATAATAGATGTAAAAAAAAAAAAAAAAAAAAAAAAAAAAAGAACTGATAAAGTAAGAAATAGTAACAGTTTGAAAGTGTGGAAAATTTAAATATGCTCATAAAAAATGTTGAAAGATTTTAGAAAATCGTCTTATTTATATATTTGTACACTTCTGATTTTATAAACTGAGCAAATTTTATCTCAAAAATATAAAGTTTCATGAATCATGTGGCCGATATAAAATAAGTATTAACCTGCAATTATTCTTACAATAAAAGACTAGAATATACTCACTTTGAATGCTGTATTTTAAGTCTCTCATAATTCTGCCGATGTTGCTCACTGAGCTTTCTTTCTTCTGCTAGTTGTTTCTGCAATTCCGTTTCCATTTCTCTCAGTGGTAGGCTCTGGCTGAGTCTAACTGGAGCAGGAGGCAAGCCTGTCACCAGGCTTGCTCCTGACCCCACATCTGTGTCACTCAAGTAATTTTGCATCAAGAATAGTTCATTTGTCTTCTGAAAGATAAACAGATATTATATAAAAGCTGAAAATCTCACTTTTCAAATATAACATGAATTATATATATATATATATATATATATATATATATATATATATATATATATAGTGGTTCTGGGTGAACTTTAGTACCAGTTTTACATTCTTTCACTATGTCTCTCACGGATAAAATAATAGACCTCATAAAAAGTCTATGCCAGGAAACATTTTTACTTAAACCCTTCTGGAACACTACTCGGTAAAAAAGAAAATTACAATCTAAAATCTCAAAAGACTCCACTAAGCAACAAACTCCTGGACCTTTTGAAGTTGATATTTTAAACTTAATTAAAAAAATTAGCTTCAGAAAATCATCCAACGAATTTCCTCATGATGTGAACAAAAACATTAGAACTATTAAAAAGTCTAATGATATATGGATCAGAGCTGCCATAAATCGAGAAATATTTATAAAATCAATCTCTCCAACTATCACAAACTTCTCTCAAACAAAATCATCAAAACCTACAAACTAGACAAAAATAATAATACAATTTCTATAATTAACCAAGATGCCACTAATTTTGCAAATAAATTCAGTATTGATTACAGAATGGGGAAAATCCACATGAAAAATGCTTATTTACTAAAGACCACAAACCCAATTTTGATAACAACCAACAATCTAGATCAATCAATACTTCCAGAACTGAACTAAGTTTAATTTCTAAAAATATAATTAAAAGAATAATCAACACAATACAAGAATCTTCTTATAACAATCTGTGGAACAATTCTTTCAATACAATAAAATGGTTCCATAATATTAAAAGTTAAGATAAGGCCACATTTATCCAATTCAACACAATAGATTTCTACTCCTCCATTTCCAAAGACTTTTTATTAAAAAGTATAAATTTTGCAAAATCTATGTAGAAATTACAGATGAATTTGAGGTTATATTAGCTTCTAGAAAATCATTGACTAATAATAATTCCACTTAGATTTATTGTTTTCCTACAAATTCAATGAGTATGAATTAATTTATCTTTGACGGAGATGTTTTTACTTGTCTTTGATGCCTTTTATCTTTGATTTTCCTCTTTTCTTGTTGAGTGAGAAGACATACCATCACATTCTTTCTCCCTTTCTTTCTCATCACCTAGACGAGAAAATGATGTTCTAATCAAGGGAACAAACCATTGTTCACAATAATTGACAAATATTACTGACGACTAAAAAAAAAATTTTTCTTAAAGGACAATTTTAACTTGTACAAAAAGCCAGATTTCTGGGATTTGACATTTTGGTTTTCATGAATTGAGAAAAGGGATATGTGGGCAGCCCAATTTAGAAAATTCAGGATATTTCAAGGAGCTTTTGGGCTATTGCTGTTTTTCCAGGACTTTTCAAGGCATGGAAAAGGCCATGTCAATTTTCTAGGACTTTTCAATGTTTCCAGACCTGTATGAACCCTGTATAAAGGTCTGAACTGGTAGAACCAAAGAATGAAGCTTATTTGTCATGGAAATAGTCATAGAGTATCAATAGGTTTGCAACATTGTGGAAAAGAGGCTGTAAAGTGGTAAATAAGTTTCCTCCCTGAGAAGACCACATAAATAATTGAAGTATATCAAGGCTGTAAAGTGAGGATTGAGCAGTTCCAATTTTGAATTCGTAAATTTCATTTCCACTTAATTACTATATCACATCCTAAAAATAGTCCAATACAGAATTTTTACACGATTTTAAACTATTATAAATTATTTATTATTATAATTAAAAAAAAAAAAAAAAAAAAAAAAAATTCTTGTAAAAATTCATTATTCATCAGAAAAATTTTATTTATTCAGACAAAATGTGCTTAAGGCTTCTTATTTACAAAAGCAATTAAAAGCTTTTCTAATTAAATAATGTCATAGTTTTATATTGCATGGGTCATGGAAATAAATACTTTTTAAGCAAAAGCTCACGAAAACAGAGCCTATAAAGAATATAGAGATCATGGTAAGGTAAATTATACCTCAAAATAAAAAAAAAAATAAACAATTTAGATTTTAGAGAATGATATCACCCACCATGCATGTAACAGATGCTAGCTGACAACTTCAGGAAAATTGACATCATAGGCGATGAAGGAACTAGGGACTTACTTGCGGGTTGCCTCACATAAAAAAACAAAAAGCCCATGTAAGCCTTACTATTAGTTTTTCAAGCAATAGTTACTTGTACAATAATTGCAGTAAAAGTCACAAAGAAAAAACGTGTACTACTTATTCAGTGAATAAGTAGTACACGTTAAGTTATTCACGATCAGTAAGAATGAATTTGTGATAACTTGATTAAAATTATTTTCTATATTTAAAAAATAAGAATATTTTTAGGTACTGAAAAATAAAAGTATAAAACTAGAGTCTAACATTTATTTAAGTACGAAAAAAAAATTCTTGATATTATTGAATCGGAATCCAAATGAACACGAAAAGTGATTCTCCTCCCCAAATAAATATATTATTTTGTATTTTAGTTATTATTGTAGTGATGGAGAAAAAATCATTCCGCTTGCTGTAAAAATGTATAAATCTTTATTTTTTTTATTTTTGACATGTGTGGTCTTGTTTCATATTTGTCTGTTGTCACTTCTGACTACGTAAAACAACTGTTGTTAAACAAACAAAAAACGAGGAAAAATTTGAATCGTACCAGCTATGACGAGAAGGGTTTATTTTAAATTAATGCAAAGAGAATGTTTAACCAATCAAAGGCAATATTAATTAAATAACATATCTGTTTTTGATAAGACAGAAAGCAAAAAAAAGAAGCAGCAAGCAGCAAATCTAAATACGTAAGCGTAAAAGTAAAAAAATAATGAAAAAACAACTGATATAGCTATCAAATGAGCTTTAAATCGCAAAAAAAGAAAGTACGTAAGATTAAGAATTTTACATATATTTTTGTTCTCTCTTTTTAAATTTTAGCGTATAAGTTCGCTTACCAATAAATTACGGTGATATTTAGTGTTGGCGCCTCCCAAGAATACCGCAGAGGAAGGTTTAGACTTGGAGACATGCTGCAGCACGTTTTAGTTTGAAATTTAACATCTGTTCTGAGCATGCGCTTTTCACTTGTTGCCAACTGACCACTACACGTGTTGAACATTGTTGTTTTGGTTTTTTCGCGAAAAAAATAAGCTTTTATTTTTTATTTATTATTCACCGATACCGCGATATGCCCGTTTTTTTTTTGTTTTTTTTTTATTCAGATAAATATTTTACTAAAATTTAGTCGGTTGTGTGAGAAATATTTTGTTAACGAACGCCATAACAGACTACCTTTGTTTTTTTGTAGTAAATTATTTTTTATCCGACTCATCACTCATTGCTAAAAAAAGTAAGTGTTTTACTTTTTTTCATTTTCTAGCTTTAGTAAGAATTCGGCTGTCTGCTAAAATCTTTACGGCACTACTTTACTTACTACTTACTAGTTTCACGAAATTACCAATCTAAGCTTGTGGTAGATGCGTGAACGTACACCTCCTTAGTTACACGAGTGAAAAATAAATCCCCAATCAACAGAATTCTAAAAATATCAGCAGCAGCAACACCAACAACGACGAAGAAGAAATACTAAAAAACTGTTTTTTATTTTACATTTTTAGCATTAGGTACCACGAAAATGGGTGCATTTTTTTTTTTTTTTTGTTTTTCTTTGTTTTTTTTATTACTGAAATGAAATAATCAAAAATAAAAAAAAAACTGATATCCCCAGTGTAAAATTTACAAAATACTTATTCGTTAATGAACGAATTACAGTACAGTACACACTACTGAATTTTACTGGAAAACTTTGTGGAACTGCCTCCCATAATTTATATCGTGCGTATGCTTGAGGAGTGTTCGCGAATTTCTTTTTATAGTTTGTGCAAAAACTGGGTGGAAGCACACGCAGGAAAAGAAAGGGGTGGGGAGGTAGTACGAGTCCAATAGGTTCACTAGGCAAAACAAGTCCACACTTAGCCGTCTGATTTATTATTGCAGTATCTGTCTATGTTTAGGAGATGAGGTATTATGTACATTATTTACATTATTCGGACTATTGTCCTCATCTTTGTCGCCATATTTATTACTACGTTTCGGCCGTTGTACGCTCCGGCCTTCTTCAGGTGGTTGCAATGTCAAACTGAACCCTTTATTTCGCTCACTGGGGTAGACTGTTCTAGTTCCACGTGCCATGTTTTTTAGTTTAATGGATGTCAGTTATCAGTTATCTCCTGTTAATTTTCACTCTGAAAGTTCTGCCTTAACCGGATATTGAACTCACACTCTTTGGGTCCTGTCACTGGATCTAACTAACGCCTTTATCCACTGTGCCATGTGTCCTTAAGGACATCTGTGTATGAATTTCTGGGTATTATATTATAAACCTAATTACTGTTTTTACCAGTGCTCATATTGCAATTTTTGCTGTTGTTATCGCTTTTCTCTGTCACTCCTTATTACTGGTTCCCATATTGTATTCATTTCTATGCTTGGTCGGCTCAGGAGATTTTTGTGGCCTAGCATATGTGCTGATTCCTTAAGTTTACGAATTTTCCAATGGTGTTCTTTGGTGATCTCCTTTCTCTCTCTTCGGCCTGTCCCCCCTTTATATTTCTTTCCGCAGCTGCACGGGATAGTATAGGATACAAATCCTATATCATTCCAACAAGTGACTAAAAAACACAAAGTAGATTTGCACACCCGCAAAATCGGATCAAAACGACCAAAAACAGATTTCACTATAAGGTGTGAAATTAATTTTCTGACCAATGAAAGGAGGCGATTTGCTAAACCCCCCAAAAAAAGATAACGAGCCAGTGTGAAAAAAAAGTCAACAATAAATACTGACGTTTCGGCGCGTGGCCAAATATCCTTTTTCCTAAGTCGCGTCTAACGACCACTCAAGGTCAGCGCCTCTCACCCAACATTTGCCGAATTTCAACAAAGAGAGACGCACCTTTTCTGCCCTGATCTTGACTTTAAGCTGATGCTTAAAGAAAGAGACCAGTTGAGGAGAGAACTTCTCGCCTCCGTGAAATTCCTTCTGTCACGTCGTCCACACAACCATTCGCATGATGCCAAGCAAACACAAGAGTACGTACTGCTGGTCCCTTGACATTGGCGGCACCACATTGGAACAAACGGTGCTGGCATCAAGGACAAAAAACTTTCCGCCCAAAATGCGAACCATGTAGCCTTCAATCAGCCTACACAGCAGGTATACGACGCTACAGTGAAGGAAGGCCCAGTCACCGCAGCGCACGCACATTGGCGTGGCCACCAGCCCCGCTGCATAAATGTTCTTGCTGACCCACAGAGCCCCTCGCAACACCAGCCAGGTGAGTGATGCCTAGTCGTTGTTGAGACATTTCAACCCGGGCGCCCAAAGCAGTACGGGACGAAACTCCTCGTTCATAAGACCGAGCTTGTCCTGGAGTTTGTCTTTAGCTTTTACCCTCACCAGAACCCAATATAATGCCTTCTGAGACAACGCCTCGGTGTCGGAGAGGCGATCCTTCACCTCTAAGAGGTGGCACAGCGCATTTCGACATTCCTCATAGAAAGGGCATTCCTCTTGCGGCGTTCAGTTTGCCTCCACCTCTCCCGCATGCACACTTCCCAGAGACGGGAGGGCTCGGCAAGCGTCTTCTTTCCAGAATACGCCCTCTTCATCCTCCCCATCTTCGGTACACATCCTTTGCGGGAAGTTCGACGCTTGGCATAATTGACCGCCTTCTGCAAGATGGAGACCTCGCGACGTACCAGATGAGCCTTTCCCCTCCAGAGGAAATCGAAAAGGTCATCAACGAACTTTTGTCGTTCGGTAGACGGGAGTGGAAGAACAGAGAGACGGTAAAGGAGAATCGGTTAGATGTGCGAGATGCACACTTCCGCCCTCCCCTTCAAGGAAAGATTCCTTCCACAGGCATACTGCTTCCTCGACCCTCTTCCAAACCTCCGACCAGTTGGTGTCCAGCTGAAGTCCGGGCCCGAACCAGATACCGAGTATTTTGACGGGCCCGTCCGTCCAGCTGAAGGGCCCGGGGAGAAGAACACCCTCCCACTCGCCCAACCGCAAGCCGACAGATTTATCGCGATTGATCTTGGCCCCCACAACTGTCTCATACCTGCAAATCTCTTTACCGACCTCGTGAATTTCAGCGGCGTTTTTAACAAATACCGACACATCATCGACATAGGCGGAATACCTGGCAGTGTTGGTGGCGCCAGGCACCGAGATTCCGCGAAGGACCGGATTCGCCTTTAACTTGTGTAGGAGGGGCTCCAACGCAAGAACATAAAGCATAGGCGAAAGTGGACAACCTTGACGAATGGAGCGAGACAAGGTGAAAGGCACCGACCTCACCCCATTTACTTCCACCAGAGCGCCAGGGGACTTGTACAAGATGGCATCCTCTAATCTAGCTTCCGCTGTCGTTTGTGCTGCTAATCTATCATTGTTGAGCCGACGGCTATAATCAGCTGCAAACGACCTAATGACAGACTTAAGATGGCCCCACCACTTATTCTCAACCACACTCCCCGCCATTTCCCTCTGTATGGTTAGTAACAACTGGTCGCGGAAGTCTTTCAAACTTGAACTTCCAGTAACCAGTCAGGTTCTGGTTATGAGTTTGCACGTCGTTGCGGATGGTTTGATTTATAAAATTTGCATATTCAGACTGAATTTATTTAAGAAATATGCAGTGATACTAATTGTAATTTTATTATTAATTTCTTTATGTACCTAACAAGCTAGTACAATTTTAACTGTTGTTCTTAATTGCTTTTTAAAATATAGGAGTCTAAATATGGTATTTTGTCCTAATTCATAATAGACAAAAAAGTCGAGCACATGTGTAAAAATAAAAAAAATCTGCCAAAATTAAACGGTTTGAGATATTTTGATGAAATATAAAATGCTAAGTTTCTTTAATCATGTAGATTAAGAAGATGCAATCAGATAACACATAGTACCTGTTTGAAATTTTCATCTGTGATACCTAATCCTAGTCCTAATTAAGCATGATTACGACCCATTCATCCAACATAATTGATTCATTTACCACAGGAACTCATTCATCACCATCCAATCCTACATATACCACAATACCACATATGGGGAGCCTACAAAAAACTCCCCATGATATAAAAATCTCAAAATGTTCAATTCCAAAAATATATAAAAATCCCATGAATGATGAAATGGGGTGTGGGGGGGATGAACCCAGAAAACTAACAGAAGATTGCAACAAAACAAACTAAATCAAAACAGATGTTAGTAGGATCCGACCACTCCTCAAAATAATAAGAGTGACCGCTGTATTCTGTCGTTAGACAGAATCAAGAAGCACACTCACTAATGGAGTGGTAAGGGTAAAAATAAATGACGGAAAGGGAAAATCAAAGTCTGACCCAGCCGAGATGCAAAAAGGGGCCAAAAACAAACTGGGGAGTTTGGGAATCTCGACCTGGATCATAACAAAAGAGACTGCCGAGAACAGGTCAGGAGCACACTTAACAAGGGAAACAAATAGTGTCAAGGGGAAGGATCACAGGAAACCACCCCGTGGTGACCAAGAGTACTTAAAAAAGGAACTCAATGTTAGCCCCTTTCACAAAAACCAAGCTCGCTACTTTCACCCACCTTTCGCTGAAATCTGTCGATAAGAAACGCTTTCTATCAGTCCTGATCTTCACATTCAGCTGATACTGAAAGCATCCGACCAGAGCCTGATGAGAATAAAGTTCGTATCGCAAGATTCCCTCATCCGCGTCGTCCATATCACCATTCGAGCCAAGGCTAGCAGCGTCAGAAACACCATTCGTTTCTTCCCAGAAAACGGGGGCGACATATTATCACACCCGTATGCGAGATCGATGAGCAGGAGAATATCAGGAGCGATACGAGCCGTCAACCTGCCGACATAGTCCCAGAAAGGTCGCACCTGAGGACAATGTTAGAAGGCGTGTGAAACAGTTTCTTTT